CATGTAGCTACTGGTGTGGTCCAGGAACATGTACCTACTGGTGTGATCCAGGAACATGTAGCTACTGATGTGATCCAGGAACATGTAGCTACTGGTGTGATCCAGGACCATGTAGCTACTGATGTGATCCAGAGACATGTAGCTACTGGTGTGATCCAGGGACATGTAGCTACTGGTGTGGTCCAGGAACATGTAGTTACTGGAGTGGTCCAGGAACATGTAGTTACTGGTGTGATCCAGGAACTTGTAGGTACATGTTCCTGGATCACTCCAATATCTATACTAGATGGGTAAGAATATAAGTTGTTTACTGGTATGTGCTGATGTACCTTCGATGTTCGTTTATGTTTGAACATAAAGAAACATCAAGGGTACATCTAGCCTTGGGCCCCGAGGGACCAGTGAACAATGTATTTATCTTACCGAACACCTCAATGGTAATTTTGAACTGTTGAAGTAGGGTATGGGATCATATTATGGAGGACAAGACGACAAGAAAAATAAATTTAGACGTATCTCCCTTCCATCGATTTGCATTCGCAAACCATCAGTAAGTTTTGTACATCATATGTGATTCAATGTTAATCAAGATGCATACTTACTACTATGAAGTACCAAATGAGTTCGGAACATAGAAAATGTTACTCGCTTGTAAGCGGAGTACATTGAAAATAATGGAAGAGCGCTCAGCCAATCAGAAAATGACATTTATGTGTGAGGCAAGACGATTACTGATATTTATACTAGATGGGTAACAATTACCGATATCTATACTAGATGGGTAACAATTACGGATATCTATACTAGATGGGTAACAATTACGGATATCTATACTAGATGGGTAACAATTACGGATAGCTATACCTGATTACTGATTGTGGCACTAGAAGGGAAACAATTACAAATAGGTGATCAAGGTGTAAAACAATTACAGATATCTTCACAAGATGGGTTCCATTTACTGATTGTGGCACTAGAAGGGAAACAATTACAAATAGGTGATCAAGGTGTAAAACAATTACAGATATCTTCACATGATGGGTTACAATTACTGATTGTGGCACTAGAAGGGAAACAATTACAAATAGGTGATCAAGGTGTAAAACAATTACAGATATCTTCACAAGATGGGTTACATTTACTGATTGTGGCACTAGAAGGGAAACAATTACAAATAGGTGATCAAGGTGTAAAACAATTACAGATATCTTCACATGATGGGTTACAATTACTGATTGTGGCACTAGAAGGGAAACAATTGCAAATAGGTGATCAAGGTGTAAAACAAGTACAGATATCTTCACATGATGGGTTACAATTACTGATTGTGGCACTACATGGGAAACAATTGATGATTTGGGAAGACACTCCGATTTATAGCAAATAGACTGAAAACTTGAAAATAACCAGGTATTCAGTGAAAACAAAAAACTTCTATTAACAGAACAGGATTGATTGAACTTTGTAAATGGCCAACTAATGGCAAGTAAAATCACTTGCCCTGATAATTTTTCCTCTATACCGGCCGATTTTCTTGTTGATTTTGTTAAATAAACAACATAATTAACATAGGAAAGTCAACTGGACATTGGTACAGCGTGATGTAAAAATTTGCTTGCCCGACTTGAAAAAACACTGGACTCGGATGTCGGACAATGGGTTCTTTCCACCCCTGATTCTACATATCAAAAAGATTCAGAAGGAGGTGTTTTGTAACAATTCTGTAATAAGTATTATAATATATAGATATTGTCATCCTTTAATTGAGTGTCAGAAAAATGCATGTCATCATTCGAAGGCCCAGGTTTAACACACACATTGATTATATATCATATTTCAAATAACGAAATCATTGAATCTTACCAGCTTGAGTATTAGATGGATTGTAATGGCTGTCAATATTGAATGTGTTTCACATCAACAATTTCATATTGACTTTCATAGTCAGTGTGCCAACACTATTTTCATGTCACATCAGGCAAATGTAATTGTGTGTCAGAATGTAAGGCTGTTCTCTTTTTCAAATAGAAATTTTGTTCTGAGTTATAATGATAAAAACAACATCTTATTGACAGAACATATTCTCTTTATGAGAAAGTAAACCTGTAAAAACCCAGTTTAGACAGGCCCAGTGGTTAGAGCATATATTTGTGATGCTTAAGGCCCAAGTTAGATTCTTTAAATGGGGGGGCGGTGGGGTAGCCTAATGGTTAAAGCGTTGGCTCGTCACTCCGAAGACCCGGGTTCGAATCCCCACATGGGCACAATGTGTGAAGCCCATTTCTGGTGTCCCCCGCCGTGATGTTGCTGGAATATTGCTAAAAGAGGCGTAAAACCAAACTCAGTCAGCCATTAGTCTTTAAATGGGTACAATGTGTGAAGTCAGTCTCCAATTTCCCACTACTGGCAAATGTCCTTAATGTGTAAGAAAAGGCTTTGAAACCTGCTGAGGTATGTTCCTTGGTCATATCAGGATCTTGAGTTCGAATACTGATCCTTGGTTTGTCTGTACCATTCCCATGCTCCAGGAGTGAGTGAGTTCAATTTTACATCACACTCAGCAATATTCCAGCTATTGTTAATAATCAAGTCTGGACCAGACAATCCAGTGATCAACATCATGAGCATCGATCTGCGCAGTTGGGAAGTGATGACATGTGTCAACCAAGTCAGCGAGTCCTGATCCTGTTAGTCGCCTCTTACAACAAGCATAGTTGCCTTTTTTGGCAAGCATGGGTTGCTAAAGACCTATTCTAACCCGGATCTTCACAGGTCTCCATGCTCCTGGATTGCACTGAAGTGATCATGTATGATGCCATGATATGAGAGAGATTAAAGTTATAGAAACATGAAAACCCAACACCATACACCTTAAAGTGTGTCCCTGACAACACAATATTGACAGTGTAATGTTAAGTTTTAACTCACTCACTCATTGACAGGACTTTAACTCTATAAGAAATGCTTACATTAATAAAGAAGTAATTTTTATTGCAAAAAAACAACTTTTTGAAAACAAAATTATATGTAATGGCCCTGGATTAACCGATGTGGAGACAGCAAATGATAATGCAAGTTGTGGACTTTTGTCATGAAAACATGACATGATTGACTCATTTGGAAAAAGGTCACTATTTATTAACTTGTTAGCTTTGTTTGATGAATGTTATCAATTGATTTGCCCTTCAGTATAGTCTGTTTGCAGTGAAAACGTACCGATGAATTTCACTGTAAACAAAAAAGTAAATCATGTTAAGTGAAATTAAGATTGTGAATCCTCATAATTTTACCTTGCCAAATGAACATTTAAATCTCAGAATTTTTTTCAATTTAGGATAAAAGTTGTTTAACAAACGATCATAGATTCAAATCGCTATTATTGGTTTGTATTACAAGGGGGTGAACGCAGTAGATGGAACAGTGTAACAAATGCACGTGCGGTACGTGATGAGCGTTAACTTACACCAACCCTACTTGTTCTCGATGTTTCATTTAAAGTGCATACCCCCTTGTAGTAAAAACCAATAATAGTGATTTGAAACTATGATCGTCTTTTAAACAACTTTAATCCTAAGTTGAATAAAATTCTGAGATTTGAATGTTCAATTGGCAAGGTAAAATTATGAGGATTCGCAATCTTAATTTCACTTTATTCGATTTACCTTTTTGTTTAGAGTGAAATTCATCGGTACGTTTTCACTGCAGACTATAGTATGTGTGACATGCATCACTGTTTATAACAGCCATTGCAATCACCATCAAATTCATATCACATGCTTAGCAGTTTAGCTGTGAGATTTGGTTCAGGAAGAACATTGTCTATATCATGTACAGTTCACAGCCATATATCATTTGTATATATCACTGCTCAGTGTTGTTTAACTGCGCATAACACCCCACTGTCATGTAACACATATTTGCTTGAAACACTTATCTTGTCAATACAAAAATTCTAAAAAATCAATGAAGACAAAAACTGAATTCTTTCAATATTTTGTGTGATATGTTAACATTTTGTAATATTTAACAGTGATTTGAAATAGCATCAATCAAGCAGTTCCATTTTCCATTCCGATTAATTAAAAAATATGTATCCTATATGACAGTGGTGTGTAAAGATCTCAGCAATTGACAACAATCATATTTGTATACATATCCATATATTGCATATCAATCACCTGTCACATGTTAATATCGCTTGTGTATTTACCGCTACATGGCAGGGTATGTGATACAGCCTGTAGTTGCCACCAATCAAACGACCTGATTGACAGGTTACTGCATGTCATTTTGTATATCACATGTTAATTTGGTGTATATTGCAAATATGAATGTCAGCTGTTCTGTTTTCCTGATTCAGAGACTGCTTTTTATTCTGAACGATGCCGTTCAAGCCAGCTAAGATAGCTGAGAATTTTAGTCGTAAATTTGGCATTTCTGAAACTGAACATATTAGTGTTTGGGCAACTGAGAATTTTTCATCCAACATTTGATGCTGAATGGAAACACAGTTCATCACTGTGTTTGTAAATTCATATTTCTATAGTGGTGTGATACAACAATTGTATTAAAAACTGGGTCAGTCTTTTCCAAATTATTTTTTCGCAAACAGTTGTCCTTAATTTTGTTTATTCTTTTCATCAATAAATAGTTGTATTCATACACCGATGTATTTATGAAATAGTTGCTATTTGATATGATGTTTACAGCTTTTCATATTTGTTTATACACAAGTTATTCATTGTCAGCCTAATAAAGCATAATGTGATTCAATCATGTATTAATTTGCATGATTTCTAATTTGTAAATTAATTCATCATAGAATAATCAGACGTGACTGAGCTTTGCTTTTTAACTGTCTATCATCCAGACTTTGTATAGACCTGATGAATTGTGATTTTGGTGTCAGAGAGACATGTAAATAATAATGTAAGAAATATTCATTAAATACCAAGAACATTTCACAGGAAATGCTGTAAATTGGACGTTATTTATTTCAGATTTATGACAAGCGACTACGACACTACAGGGAAAGTCTTGAAGAAGTCGATGCCAAGTTGATTGAGACTGTACACAAGAAGATAAAGACCCAATCAGGCGCTAAAGCAGTGCAACAGGAACTAGACACACTGAACAAAGACTACATGGAAATGGTGACGTGGACGAATGCCAGGTTAAAGGACATTACAGCCATACTGTCACAGGCCAATATAGACATAAAGGTAAGTCCAACCAGACCTTGGAGTGGCGCTATCAGGAAATAGCTGCTGGTTAAAGAAGTAGTTTCACTCTCTAACTGTAGGTAGACATTTTTCCACATTGAACATCTCTTCCACTGCAGTTCCAATGCTTAAGAGTTGTATCTTGAATGTTAAGTCCAAAATAAGTCTTGGTTCTCTTTTCGTTTAAGTTTTTGATAAGTAGATGCAGTTGCATTAAGCATTATCCAAATAAGGAGGCATGGAAGCTGTATTTTTATAAAGTTTTTAATCAGTAGTGTATGCAAAACATGTTTAGCAATAGGTGCATTTTATTCTATTTTTTAAAAGATTGGTCTTGTATTGAAGGTGGGGCTATGAATATTTTTATATAAATAATGTAGATATGAAAAACGACCAATCTCACCATACAATCCCCTCCCCTTCTTCTGTCCCTGCCCTCGACTGCCTCCGTGGTGTAGTGGTTAGAGCGTCCGCCTAAGAGCGGAAGGTTGCGGGTTCGATCCCTGACTGCGTAAAACCAAAAGACGTTAAAATATGGTACTTGTTGGTCCCTGCCTGGCGCTCGGCATTAATGGGTACAACAAGTACTGGTCGGCTCGGAGCAGTATAATGTGTCTGAGTGGGGTATTCATGCTTCTCTGCGGCATGGTATCTCAGTGGACTAGCACAATAAAACCAACTTAAGTCTGGGCTAGTACAAGCAGCCGCACGTACACATACACACGCATGCACGTCGTCATTATGAGCGAAATATTCTCGAGCACGACGTAAAATCCAATTTCACCTCCCCACCTTCTCTCCCTGTCCTCCAAATAAACATAAAAGCCAACCAGTCCTTTACCAGGAAGAGATGTTTCTATGTGTTTATCTATCCAGCACCTGTCACTTTGAAAATCAGTACAGTAGAGGAACATAATCACTGTAGTAACTTTAATGTTAAAGCATAATTTGATCATCATGTATCGTATCTAAATATACTGGTAACTGTAATCTTATTCATTCAGGTGTGAGTTAATTTGCATGCCTTCTCTCATAGCTAAATCTTTTTTACTAGTCTTGATACTTCTGGAAATGTTTCTGCTCCATCTCTATAACACTGGCTGAACAGATTGAAAGATAAAATACTTGCAAATATGATATTAAATGGTTCCATCCATGACACTGTGCCACTGATGACATCCTTCTTCAAATTATTCATGGCACCCCCTGGGTTGGGTAGCCTAGTAGTTAAAGCGTTCGCAAGTCATGCCGAAGACCCAGGTTCGATTCCCCACATGGGTACATTAAGTGAAGCCCATTTCTGTTTTCCCCCACTGTGATAATGCTGGAATATTGCAAAAAGTGGCACAAAACTATACTCACTCACGGCACCCCCTGCTTGTTTTCAAACTGACAAAAATTAAAATCCTCAAGCTACATTGTGAAGCATTGCTGATAGTGTCCCATGCTGTGATAGAATTCAAATATTGCTGTCATAAAACTACATTCACCCATCAAATACAAATAGTCAAAAACAGCTCACCATTCTGCACACTATCTTCACCCAACCAGTATTATTTTGATGGAGCATTTTCACTGTAGTACAGAAACTTAATACTTAGTCCAACCTTGTGTCTTTCCTTTCAGTTCCAAATGGTCATAGATGATGAAATTCCCCTACTTCGTACATTCCGTGCTGAGCTGGCTAAACGATCCTCCATGCTGTTTGATGAGGACATGGAGGAGTTCTTCCAGCAGCTCAACGAGTTTGAGGGCTATGGAAACTTACCCACAACCTACTTTGGTGGACACCATACTTACGTCAGTCAAGCAGTTGTCCAGCCATCTGCTACAGTTTCAGCCCAGCTGGAGAACCAGGAGAGGCTGTTACGAGTTTCCAAGGTCGGAACTGTCCAAGAAGTTGTAGCTTCTCCACAAAGTATGAGTGTTTCTGTGAGTCAAGATCGTCAAAGACGTCTGTATGAAAAGGTGGCTGTGATGACGAGTTCGAATGCCATGGCAACCAGTGCCGATGTTCAGACATTGATCACAGTGAGGAACACTGAAGTTGCACCAAGGGGACCATTAGTGCATGTGTCAGCCATCTTGAACCCAACGACCATGGAAAGAGTTAACCTGGTTGAAGCTATACAGTCTGGTTTGATTGATCCCAAGACACAAACCTACTGTGAACCCAAATCAAAACAAAGGCTGTCCTTAATCAATGCCGCCAGACAAGGATTCATTGACGAGAGCCTTGTGAAACAATTGAACTCCAACTCAGGCATCAAGGATAGGACAGGCAAACCTTTAACACTTCTGGAAGCAGTCGGGAAAGATTTGTATGACCCTGTTACCAATACTGTGAAAGACCCAGCCTTCGGTACAGAAATGCCTTTGTCAGTGGCGGTGTCAAGAAACATTATGTCAGAATCTTGTGCTGCTTCTCTGCAAGGAGAACCTGTCAATATCACAGCTATAACGCATTCTCAAGCAGTTGTTCCCAATTCTGCCCTTGCTAAGGCTGATGCTTCAGTTAGTCTCACTCAGGCAATAGAGCAAGGCTTGTTTGATCAATCGACTGGAAAGATTCATGATCCCTTTACTGGGGAGAAGTTGACTTTGATCAATGCTGTAGAAAGAGGGATTGTGAATTCTACTGTGTGTGAAATTCTGAGTCCACAAACAGGACGGTGCATTACTCTCACTGAAGCTGTGAGTAAAGGAATAGTGGACCCTGTGTCAGGGGCATACATCAACACATCTACAAATCAGAGATCGCCCCTAGATACAGCTCATTCAAAAGGACTTGTGAGGAGACCTACTCCTCTCTCGGATGTGATATCTGATGGGTGCTTACTTGAAAATGGATCAATACTCGATAAAGCCTCAGGGCAAGTTGTGACACTTGAAGAATCAGTGAGATCAGGTTTGGTTGATGGTGAAAGTAAATGTCTTGTTGATCCCAGAACTGGTGATGTACTGTCACTGAGTGAAGCCATGAGGCGAGGACTTGTCAATAAAGCTGGTGACTTTGTCCCGTTTGGTAGAGGGTCTCCAAAGTCAATCTTGAGTGCTGTTGGACAGGGAGACTTGAAGCTTGTGAGTGAAAGTGTTACATTCTCCGACTCCTTAGTGAAGGATACCTCAACAAAACAAGGTGTAACCTTGTCTGAAGCAATAAAGCAAGGCTTGATGACTTCCAAGGGAACATTCATTGATAAAAGGACACGGCAAGAACTTTCTCCACAACAAGCTGTGGCTCGGGGCATTGTTGATCAGTCCCTAGTTGATAAACTAAACCAGAAGACAAGTCTCAAAGACAGAACTGGTCAAAATCTGACCATGCTGCAAGGACTGCAGATGGGATACATCTCACCAGAAGATGGTTCAGTGAAAGACCCAAGAACAGGGAAACTCCGAACTTGCCAACAAGCAACCACAGAAGGAATATTATCTCCAGATGAAGCTTCAGATTTGTTGAGTCTCATCAGTCCAGTTGTGACTTCAACAACCATTCTGACGCAGATACAACCTTCCCATCCTGAGGCTGTGATCAGATCTCTGTCGGTGACAGAAGCAACTAGGAGAGGTCTACTGGATGATGGAACTGGCATGTACACTCATCCCCAGACAGGAGAAAAGATGCCAGTTGATGAAGCTTTAAGTAGAGGCTACCTTCGCCTCAGTTCAGAATGGCCCTCCACACCTGATGGAACTCTCCCTAAAAGTTTTGACGAAGTGGATGAAACAAATGGTGCTACATTCAAAGTGTCTGTTGGAACACGTCCAAGAGGCACTGAACCATCCACGTCAAGCGCTCCAGATTCTTCTGTTGAATCTTTCATGTCAAAATCTGGTGCTCAGTATTCCTTCACGACCACAACCACATCTTTACCATCAATAACACCAACAGTCATTAATGAGACACGTCAGTTGACTCTGAAATCTGTTGTTGATCCTAGAACTGGAAGGGACATCAGTGTCACAGATGCCATGAATCGGGGCTTGATTGATCTTGAGAAAGGACTGTACTGTGATTCAGCCAGTGGAACAAAAATGCCCTTGAACATTGCTGTTGAACGAGGCTACATCAAGGCAGATCAAATGAGTGATTCGAGTTCTCAAAATGGTGAACCTATTAAAGAAACAAGAGCATTTTCAATCACTGGTGTTATTCATCCTAAAACTGGTGAGAAAATGACCGTTAGCCAGGCAATAAGAAACGGAATCCTTGATCAAGAAAATGGCCTCTATCATGGTGCTGACAAGTTTGGTAGAAAGCAAACAATGCCCATCAGTGAAGCAATTCAAAAAAGGCTTTGTGATAGCTGAAGATATCAGCACAACTGTGTCTGTACCTGGATCTCTACTTAGAGAAACAAAAACATTCAACTTGAAGAGTGTGAAACACCCTCTCACTGGCAAATACATGACTGTAGCAGATGCTGTAGCCCAGGGCATCATTGACGAGTCAGAAGGTGTTTACATTAATCCCTTCACGGGAGTGAAAATGTCAATCCATGAAGCCATTGAGAAGAAACTGATTGACGCGGAACTTACTTCAGTGACATCAAATGCAGAAGGAGATGTCAACAAAATAACCACAACAAAACTGACAACGCTAGCTGTGACGGCTGTCAAAGATCCAAGAACTGGCAAACTAGTAACTGTTAACAAGGCAATTGAGGATGGTATCCTTGATCACGGGAAGGGTATCTATCACAATCTTGTCACTGGTGAGACGATGCCACTTAATGAAGCAATAGACTGTGGCCTTGTGATGGCAGACACAGCAGATGATGAAGATGAGTTAGAAAGAGCATCGATTACTAGCATTCATATTGCTGATGATCAAGAATCCTTTGAAGCTACCCTGCTTGAGGACATTCACTCCGAAACTATGACTCTAAGCATCAGCAGTGTGATTGATCCCAGAACGATGGAGATGATCTCTTATGATGATGCCGTCCTCAATGACGTTCTGATGGTAAATGATGGCATTTACCGGAATCCCTTAACTGGTGAAAAAATGACAATTACTGTTGCCATGGAAAAAGGCTTAATTCATGGTGAAGTCACAGCAAAGACAAAAGAGGAAGAAATCATGAGATGCTCTGTCAATGCAGAAAAACCAACTTTCACTTCATCTCACCAGATAACATCTGCTATTGATCCAAGAACTGGAAAGCAGATTTCTGTAGCAAGGGCAGTGAAAGAAGGACTCATTAATGTTGAAAAAGGTACTTTCTATGACACCAGATCTAGAGAAGAGATCTCTCTTGAGAGTGCTATGAACCAAGGCTTCTTAAACCCATCCAAACAGACTGGTGCTTCCGAACTTGAGAAATCTATGGATGAAGATGATGATATACCAAAGATTGTTCTTAGAAGAAGCTCTGATAAAGATTCTCCTTGGTCTGTGGTGGACATTGAATTGGAAAAGACAACAGTGGAAGAACCTGGAGAGTCCACACTTGCAACGGAAGTTCTTCATTATTCCACTGAAATAGAAAGTCATAGTCCATTGAACAGATCTACAGACTTCCCTCATACTCCACTTACTCCAGGTGAAGTCTTTACTCAGGAATCAGGGAGACAACCTCTCGGACTTTCTTATGAGTCAGCAGTGAAACTAGGCATAGTAGACACAGAAAGAGGCCGAGTCAAAGATCCTAAAACAGGAGTGACAATGACCTTGTCTGATGCAGTCACATGTGGACTAATTGATTCTGATAAAACAGCCATTTCTGATCCCACCTCAGGAAGGACCGTCAGTCTTAGTGATTGTTTAGCAAAAGGTATCGTTAATCCAGTGTCGTGTAAAGTTGATCCTCTTGTAGCTGAACAATCTGGAGTGAGGCAAACAGAACAACCATACAAAGGGAAACAGCTGAACCTGATAGACACCGTAAAGAATGGATTGTTTGACAACAGATCTGGAAAGATCTTTGAGCCAACCATTGGCAAATCAGTCACATTGCGAGAAGGATTGAATAAGAACTATATTGAAGGCACACTGGTTACTGTGAAAAACACTCAGACTGGAGAAAGGGTGCCCTTGAAACGTGCAATGCAGCAGGGTCTCATTGATGGGACATTGTGTTTAGTTTGGGACAAGTCAACCAACAAGAAAATACCACTTCCTGTTGCAATAGAAAGAAGCTTGGTTGAAAATGTGCTTGATTGTTCATCTGGCCAGGTATTGGATTCTCAGTCTGGTAAACAAATTCCTTTAGAAAAAGCCCTTGCGCAGGGTAAACTCAAGCCAGAAAGTGTTGAGGTATTGGATACAAGGACTGGTGAACATGTCCAGTATCAGGATGCATTGAGACGTGGTCTCATCGACAGGTCAGGCAATGTTGTGGACAAGTCTGATGGAAGCAGGATGTCTGCAGAAGAGGCACTGAAGATGGGTCTGCTTGCTGTTGTTGGTGGGCCTATTCTAGCTGGAAAGATGGTTGTAGATGCAGTGAAGAAGAAGACATCAGAGAGATCAAGCCGTCCATCTGGATTCTCTGAAGGACAGTTGAATGGGGAACCAAATGCAAGGGAGCCCCCAAGAACAGTGGAGACAAGGGAAACAGAACCATTGACAACAATTGTGTATGCTAAACCAGGTGACAACATCCGTCCTGCAAAGCCAACAAAATCCAGGGATGTTAAGGAAGTAGTGATTGAAACAAGTGTGATTCCAAAGGTCAGGAAACCATCTGATGTGTGGGAAGATGGAAAGATTGAAACAAAGTTGCATGAGGTGGGGAAGGTGACAGATGAACTGGATTATTCGGAAACATCCACTAACAGATTTTCTTCGGTAAGTCGTATAGTTGGAGTTGCTCCTGTAGATTCTGCTTCCTCCCTGTTCTCTGCACCCTCTCCATCATCGCCAACAAAACCATCTGTGCATATTTCTCAACAGTCTCAGGTGAAGGGCGTTCCTATGCAACATAGTCCAAGCTCTGTCTCTGCTCCCCAAATGTATACACCCTCTATCTCCAGTTCTGAAACCAAACCAAGTGTGCCCTCTGTTAGTGACTCTGACCTTGATATAGACTGGAATTCTGGACAAGTCCTTGTTAAATCTACTGGTGTTGCAATGACTGTTACTCAGGCTGTGCAGAAAGGGTACATTAATTCTGAGGTTGTTGAAAGGCTTGCTGTGAATTCTGGATTTGAGTCTGGGCACAAGATAACAATAAACTGGGATGATGGGTCAATTACAGAAAAGAACTCGGACAAGACATACACTATCCATCAAGCTCTAGATAAAGGTCTTATTGACAGACCTACATTCAATGCACTGACAGCTGTAACCGGTGATCAGACACAAATACCATCAGGTTATACCCAACAAGGTGTGCAGTTTTCTGAAACATTCAAGTCCACAACAGTGCAAAAGAGTACCATCAGGGAAGGCATTGCTGGTGACAAGATCACTTCCTCTGCAAGACATTCGGAGAAGGTGGAATCTGTGGCTGGAACTAGAATAACTGATACAAAGCCTTTGAGACCGTCCAATGAAGTTCCCACCTTGAATCAACTTGTGAAAGAAGAACAGTACATTCCTTCTACTGGAAAGGTGATTGACCCCAAGACAAGGAGATCAATGACAATAAGTGAAGCTGTTGGAAAAGGACTGGTTGACTCTGAAAACTCTGTTGTCATCGATCCAAAATCTGGCCATGCTGTCCCACTTGTTGATGCAATTGACAGAGGTATCTTGGATCCCAGAACTGGTTACTTAGTTCATGCTGACACAGATGAGAAGATTACCCTGCAGGAAGCTGATCTTGAAGGGCTCATTCCTCACCCTGAACACCTGAATACTTTACGAATCAATGGCAAAGCCATGACTTTGAAAGATGCTGTTGCTAAAGGACTTGTTGACATGGAGAGTGGCACCTTCACTGATCCATTGACAAGTGACATCATGTCTCTGGCTGCTGCAATCAGCTATGGCTATGTTGCTTCTGGAGAAGCACAGACTACAACTTCTGGAAAGTCTGTCACATTCAATGTAAGTGAGGAGCTCAATGAAATCAGAACAACAAAGGAGCATGTTGAGAGGAGGTCCAGAGACCGAGAAGTTACTGATCCTTCAAAACGGATATCGTTTGCTGAAGCCCTTGACCTGGGTTTCATTGATCTTGAAACACAGAAATACACAGACCCAAATACTGGATCGAGAATAGCCATTGTAGATGCCCTGAGAGAACAGATCCTTGACCCTTCAGCTACCCTGGAGCCTGCTGAATCAGATGGTATGAGTCCTTTGACTGCAGTTGAGAGAGGCCTGTATGACAAAACTAAAGGAGGATTTAAGGATCCTGCTTCCCCAAAGAAAAGTCTGACATTCCAAGAAGCTGTATCCACAGGCTTTCTGAGTAGCAAGTTCTCCATTTATGATGTGAAATCTGGTGAAATTTACACACTAGAAGAGGGCATTTCAGAAGGAAAACTAGATGCAACATCTGGAGAGGTGTATGACCCAGACACTAAACGAAGCATTCCGTTGAAAGAAGCTGCAAAGATGGGTCTCATAGCCGTTGTTGGTGCTCCTGTAGCTGCTGCCTTCATGGCAAAGGAGAAAATTGGTTCTGCACTGCGATCAAAGAAAGGAGCTGCACCAGTACAAGGACCAAAAGAAAGTGAAGGGCCATTGATTACTTTCCAAACCGTAACAGTGAAACAACTCTCTCCTAAAGTCATTGAAGTGACCCAGATGGAACAAGGTACAGAACTGGAGAAGGGGAAGGCTGATGTCTTGACCTTAATGGAAGCTGTGTCAACTGGCTACCTGAACACAAAGACAGGTGTACTTAAAGATCCAAACACAAGCAGACAAGTTACTTTGTTTGAGGCTGTCAGACAAGGTGTTGTCAGGGGAGATTCTGCCATTGTTAATGATAAAGGATCAAAGATACCACTAGAGAGAGCATTGCTTGATCGTATTCTTGATCACACAGGTCACATGGAAGTTAAGGGATTGACCAAGAACCTAGAACAGCTAATAAAGGAAGGAATCATTCAGGAAGTGTCAGTCAATCCAATTGAACAGAGCAAAATTCTGGCCAAAACAGTTGAGAAAGTAAGTGTTGACTCCGTATATGATTCAAGAACAAATCAACAAATCAGTCTTGATGAAGCTATTGACAAAAGAATTATTCATCTTGAAGATGGAACATATGTTGACCCTTCTAAAGGAACGACTATGGACATTTCTGATGCTGTTAGAAAGGGGCTTGTCCAGGGTACTCTCATTGATAGTGTAAGAACAAAAGAACACACAACAAGAGCTGGTTTCGCTGCAGAAGTAGCATTTTCAGAAAAGAAGACCCTGAAAGTACAATCTGTAAGAGATCCTGAATCTGGTAGAAATATTCCACTTGCAGAAGCAATATCCAAAGGAGTTATTGACAAAGAAGGAAAAACCTATTTCGAGAAGTCATCCCAGAAACATATTCCCATTGAAATGGCTATGGAACAGCAGTTGGTGACAGCAAGTGAAATTAAGGCAGAGATGAAGACAGGAGAAAAGTACACAAGATCAAGTGAAAACATTGTTACACAGACAAAAACGTTCAATATTCAAGGAGTATTGGATCCTGCAACAAACGTCCAGATGACTGTTGCAGAGGCAATTCAGAATGGTGTTCTTGATACATCTGCAGGTGTCGTAGTCAATAAAAGAACTGGTGAGTCAATGCTAATTGCAGATGCGCTGAAGCAAGGCTTATTGAAAGGGACCACTTCTTCTGGTCAAGGGGCACATGATGTCTCTGGTGTGAAAAGGAGAGATCAACAACAGTCTGTGTATGATGCAGAGAGTGGACATTACTTGTCTTGGAAGGAAGCAGTTCGACAAGATATTATTGACCCAACCACAGGAATGTATAAGATTTCTGACTCAGAAGCCATGTCAGTTGAACAGGGTGTCCGTGAAGGTTTGATCAGAAAAGGGCCTGCACAAAGCACTCTGAAAAAACGAAAGTCGTTCGATGTTACTGCAGTCTACGATTCCAGAAAGGGCAAAGAAGTCTCTGTTGTAGAAGCTATTGACACTGGACTAATCAATTTGCAGACTGGAATGTACAATGACCCAGCCTTCTCAACATCAATATCTATTCAAGACGCCTTTCAAAAGGGACTAATTAGTTCCTCAACCAGAGAAGTAAGACCTGAAACAACATTTGCAAAGTCTTTGGCAGTTTTAGATTCTGGTGACGGAGAAACTATTCCTACCCCAGTCATTGTAGAAAAGCGAGATATTCCAGTTCGCGAGAGAGCAACAGCAGAATATATTGATTCAAGTACAGGAAAAGCTGTCCATGGTGCTGAACGTTTCCAGATCTCTGGAGATGAACAGGAAGGACAGGTACTTACTTCAGTTGTCCAGAAGTCTTTGACAATTCACAGTCTGGTTGACCCTGCCACTGGAAGAGAGATCTCACTGGCTGAAGCTGTAGAAGAAGAAATATTTGATCCTGACAAAGGAGAGCTCATCAACAAGAACACTGGTGAACATATGTCTGTTGATGAAGCTATGGGAAAAGGTATGGTGAGTGCTGATGTCACTCAAGGACAGAAAGCTCAGGAATTCACTCTCATCAAAGGCTTGATCATCACCAGTGTAACTGATGCCAAGACAGGAAAAGAGATGTCAGTTGGGGATGCCATGAAAAATGGCATACTGGATGAAAAGGCAGGAACCTATTACAACACAGTTACAAAGAGGAAGATGCCTATCAAGGCTGCACTGAAGCAGGGGATGATTGAAGGAAAAGATGTGGAAAAATCTGAACAAAAGAAACAGGACTCTAAACAAATAAATGTGACTTCAGTCATGGATTCAAACACAGGAGAGGAACTCAGGCTGGAGGATGCCATGTACAAGGGTATCATTGACGAACATTGTACAATGTATACTGATAGTCTGACTGGAAAGAAATTGACTGTAGAGGAAGCTATGAAAGAGGGACTTGTTGCAGGATCCATTCAGACTATATCTCAAACACAGACAACAGTTATGTCTAAGAAATCATCCTCAAAGTACAACATTGTTGGTGTTATTGACACCAGAAACGGGGCAGAGATCTCTGTTGGTGAGGCAGTTAACAAAGGAATACTCGATCCAACAGGAACATTTGTGGACACCAGAACAGGATCTGTTATGTCTGTGGCAGATGCTATCAAGAAAGGATTAGTCATCACTGAAGAGGTAGGAGATGAAAAGGGGTCAGCTGATGTCAGTATCACTGTGAAACGTCATGGAGAAAAATTTGTAGATGCATTGAGAAATGGTTCTGTGGACCCCAATACCGGACTGTACAGGGACAAAGAAGCTGCGAAAACATACAGTGTTGATGAAGGGATTCGATCTGGTAAACTTCTCAGTGATGATGGGAGACCGTACAGGTTCAAGGTTCAGCCAAGCAAAGGAATTAGGTTCACCTTTCAGAATGCTCTTAAGCTGCGATTCATAGACACTACAACTGGACTATTCCATCATGAACTTTCTGGACAAGAAATGACAATTCAAGAAGCCCTTGACAAAGGTTTTTTTTATCCCCAGTCTCAACAGTTGTTGGTAATCGAGGGGAAAGTGTGGTCATATTGAAATCAGGTGTGGCACCAGTCATTTCTGCTGAGGGAATGAAGGAGCTTATCGACACACAAACAGGGCAGAAAATGACAGTAACTGAAGCTCAGGAAAAGGGTATGGTTAGTCAGCTGTCTCCAACTGAGAAACCAAGTCTTGATGAAGCTTTCACAGCAGGTTCGGTAGACTCAACAGGACTCTACCATGATCCTCTCACTGGTGAAACCATGACAGTTGATGAAGCAGTGATGTGTGGATTCCTCAATCTGCAACCAAATGCACAACCAAATGGAAACGAAGATGTTGTGGATCGAAAACCTCAACACAAGAAAGAAACACTGTCTCTATCCAATGCTGTCAAATTTGAGATGGTGGATCCTTTAACTGGCATATTCACAGATTCTGAGTCTGGAAAGTCCATGCCAGTAGGACAAGCTGTGTTAGAAGGGTATCTGGCACCAACAATGTCAACTTCAAAAGATCATGATAACCACAAGCCACCACAGGACCAATACATCACAATGACAGAGGGCTCTCCCTTCAAACCAAACCAAGACATTGTGGTTGAAAACGGACAGGTTGTGTCCACAACAGCCACAGAAGTGACTGTTACATCTGGCTGTGCAACCTACACAGCTAGACCAGGATTTACAATAGATTCATCTGGTAATGTTGTTAACAACAAAACAGGTGAAAAGATGTCGTTGTCAGAAGCTGAACATGCCGGAATTGTAGACGTTGAGGAGTCTCAAGGTGTGAGTGCTGTGCAGGTGACGAGTCCAGCCCCTCCAGTCATTGAGGTATCTTCCCCAGCATCCTCTGTCACGACGTCTTCAGCAACTACCCCAACCACACCGGTGGTGAGTTTTCAGCATGTTTTCGTTCATTTTCATTTCATTGCACATCTTTATTGTAGACTAGTGTTATTGTAGTTGTCACATTAGGTGTTGATTTCCCTTTGTTCATATCATCATGTTTGTTTCTTATTTAAGTAATTGTGTTTCTGTTGATAGGATAAGGTAAGTAAAACCGTTTCAGAGTCCTAAAAAATAAACGTCAGTTTGGAAATTCAGTTGTGTTCAGATATTCTTGCAGTTTTGTTAAAACATGCAAGTTGATTTTGTTGTGTAAATTAACAGGTATTTTGTTGCAGCTTCTTACTTCCTTTTGTTGAATGTTGAGATCATTAACTCAAATTGTATGATGTGAAAATGTCATTTGGATGTTATTAAATTCATGAACTAATAAAAAGAGTCAATTTCAGGAACGGACAAAGGATTCGTTAGGTAGAACCATCAAAGTTTCACCCATGTCCATATGTGATGAACAAGTTAAAACTTCCACTCCTGATACATCAGCAGACAGTGAATTTACTGAAACATTGACACAAGACAGCAAAGTTACAGCTAGTGTTAACTCTCAACCTGATGGTAGCAATGACATGTCCTCCTGTGGAAGTGATAGTGATAAAGGGAAATCCCCAAAGAAGCAACAGCCAAGTCACCCTGCCGGACAAGGATCACTTATACTCGAAAGATACGTTGAAAATCTATTGTTCAATTTTTGGGAGCCTCAATCAGAGAAGCTTATGCATCCTAAAAAAGGAACCAAGCTAGGCTTTCAAGATGCTATGAAAGTATCTCTTCTGCCTGAAAGCCTTAGAGTGAAACAGTTTCAGGGAGAAGATGATGTGAGTGTGTTAGAAGCATTGTCATCCGGCCAGATGGACAGGAAGTCAGGCCGAGTTGTTGACATGAACTCCGGCTTGGTAACTCCAGTCCTGGAAGCTCTGAAAACAGGAGTCCTGTTGATCCATGAAGATGATGCATGTGATGCAAACACCATAGATATGATATCAAAAGAATTAGGAGAGGGACTTTTCCAGCTTGTTGTGAAAGGAGAGGCAAGAATGTCTTTAAGGATAATGGACAGGAAGAGTGGAAAGAAATACTCAGTTCCAGTGAGCATCCAGCATTCACTGATGTCCGCAAAAGATGCGACTGTGAAGGACACTGTGTCAGGCAAATGGATGAATTGGGAGGATGCAAAAAGAGTGGGTTTAGTTTTGGATGCCAAGCCAGTAACTCTGCAGCAAGCAGTGCTAACATATCTGTCAAAGACAAAGAAAGATCAGTTTTACAAACCTGGTGAATGTGGAACATTGCTTACTCTTGGGCAAATGATTGACCAAGGTTTTATTGATACAAATAAGAAGGAAATTTTGGACAATGAAAACAATGAATGGGTCACTGTTGAAGAAGCTGTATCACGAAATCTACTTGATACACAGACAGGGAAATTGTTTCATTCATCCATTTCGAAGGCATTACCTCTTCTTGATGCCATGGATAGTGGATTAATTATGTCGAGAAAGCTAAATTCAGCCAAGTCTCCAACATCAAATATGGCAAATGGAACAAATGGAAAGAGACTGAACATCCCCAATGGTGAAAGACCTCCTAATGCTATTGGAATCCTGGAAGCTTTAGAAAATGGAAGTTTGGATCCGATGACAGGCGAACTGTTCATTGAAGGAGAAACATATTCATTTGAGGATGCTTATGAAAGTGGGTTGCTCTCCCACAAAGATGTGTATGTAGTAGATCAAGGCACTGGACTGGTGTACACTTTCCATGAAAGCATCAACCTTGGATTTGTGGATATGAAGTCAGGTGGTATATATGACACAATCAGTGGAGAGAAGCTGACTATTTACAAAGCCAAACAGAAGGGTTTGTTGAGAAATACTCCCCAAGCATTCCTGCCTTTGACCATAGCATTCCAGAGTGGGATCTTTAACCCTGAGGAAAAAGCTGTCCAGCATCCTGTGACAAAGCACTTCATTTCTCTGACAGAAGCCATTGCTGAAGGGCTGATAAATCCTGCTTCAAGACTAACACATCCAGTCACCATGGAAAAATTCACTCTGCAGGAAGTTATTTCAAATGGTTCTTTGAATCTTGACACGCTTGACATTGTGATTCCAGGTGGAAGGAAGATTTCATTGTTTGAAACAATTACACCTGGAAGAAGGAGATCTTCTTATGCAGGTGACTTTGGTAGGAAATCCAGCCTAACTCTTGACGAGGCTATTAGCAGAGGCATGTACGATCCTGTGTTGAATTGTGTGACATCGAAAGATAAATCAGTTCCACTGAAAGATGCTTTGAAATCCAACCTTATCCACACAGACTCTCTTGTAAGAGACCCTTTCAGTGGGGATATTCTTTCCTTGGGAGAAGCCCTAGACAAGAGAATAATTGACCCTGAATCAGGCAAAATGATTGATGCTTCAGGACAAGCAATCGCTCTTAACTTTGCCATGGACAAAGGACTGATTCTAAGGTCAAAAGCTCCACTTGGATTATCTCTGTCTGAAACACTTGATGAAGGTTTATTTAATGTCATTTCAAACAAGTTTCTAAATCCAGACACAAATCAAGAAGAAGATCTATCAGCTGCTCTTCAAAATGGTATAATTGACCCAGATCTGATCAAAGTCAGAGACACAAGCACAGGGATGTTACTTAACTTTAACTCAGCAGTAGACAATGGTCTTTTAAATCTTGATCAGGGCACTTGCATGGATACAGCTGAAGGTGAGGACTACAACTTGATAGATGCTATGGACAAAGGAATCATCATAGACACTTGCAACCAGCCAAATATTACCCTCCAAGAAGCAATTGAAGAAAATATTCTGGATCTTGACACCTGTACATTCAGAGATCCTGTCAGTGGTTTTATTGTTCAGTTAGATGATGCTATGGAGTCAGGACTTATAGACAGACTTTCTGTTAGTGTGAGAAATACGTCAAGTAATACTCTTTTAACACTTGATGGAGCCATTGCAGAAGGTCTAGTTGATTCTTCAACTGGAATCTACACAGATCCAGAGTCTGGTGGAAAACTGACTTTCAGAGAAGGTTTTGAAAAAGGTCTCATTTTCTCTGACTCTTGTATTTCGGATGACAGTTTGATGGAAGCTATAAGACAGGGGATATACAGTGAGAAAACTGGAAAGTTTATTGAACCATCTACAGGAAAAGTTAGGGATCTGAGTGAAGTTTTCCGAGAAGGACTCATTGACTCTGACAGACTTAAAATCCTTGATAAAGGAAACAAGAAACTATTGACTTTCAAGGAGGCGGTAGATGCCAAAATAATTGATGTCAAGAATGCTCTGGTTGTGGACTCTGAAACCAGTGAAATGGTGAACCTCAAGGAAGCCCTTGATCGAGGTTTACTCCAAGAGAACATTAGTTCCATGACTCTGTCCTTGAAACAAAGTGTTGATGGGCAACTTCTACAAATGAACCAAGGTACAATCCTCGATCCTTTATCTAAAAAGCCTCTTTCGTTGAAAGAATCTATCGATATTGGGCTTATTGACATATCAGATGTATTATTCAAACAGCCAAACAGTCAGACCTACGAACCTCTCTGTGATGTTTTAGCTAAGTCTGCAGACATTGAAGAAGACCAAATTATCATTGATTCCTTGGGAAACAGAGTTGATATCTCTCAAGCATTCAGTGACCATGTTCTTTTTGAAAAGCCTCCAACTGGTTTACCATTGGCTGATGTTTTGGAAATAGGGTTGTATGACTGTAGAAAACAAAGATTTTGTGACCCAGTCTCCGGGAAAGATCTGACCCTTCAAGATGCAATCTGTAAGAAACTTATCAACCCAGACCTGCCCCAAGTTGTTGTTCCTGAAGTTGGAGATTTTTCATTGAAGCAAGCTTTGGACAAAGGCCTTGTTGATCCTCACACAGGCAGCTACATAGCCTCAGCTAATCCACTGTCTATTAGTGATGCCATGACTGCTGGCAGACTCATCACATCTGACACACCAACTAGTGGAAGAAAGCAAAATGTTGTGCAGATGCAAAACATGGCATTTTCAGAGATGAATGAAAGGAGTCAGTCTGCTCCAAATGTCTACCACCCAGATGTTTCCCCTTCTGGAGATGATAAGCAGGTGTTTGACCAACGTTCAGGCCTTAATGTGACAGTACCTGTTCAGACTGTTTTGAAGGATGGGAATTTAACAGTGAAATCAATTGAAGGAGATGCTTTCAGGGCTACAGATAAGCACAGGCAAATTGAGCCATTGAAAGCCAGGGATTTTATTGTTGGGGATTCCAAGAACTCATCAGACATTCCTCAACAAGGGACCAAAGACTATGGTAAAGATTCAGGGCAAATGGAAGAGATTACAGATCCTGGGATTTCAAAGGAACATCATAGCTTGTCTGTGAACAGAGATAAAGAAATGGGACCAAAGGATGATGTGACAGGAAATAAGGCAAATATAGACGATTCAGGATGTATCATGGTGGACTCTACCGAGGAAAGTGTCCTTATTCCTGCAGTAGAATTCAAGGAATTTGTTCAGACGGACAAAGGTCTGGTTCCCAAGCAAGGAGCAGTAACAGCAGAAGTTAACAGAGACTCACCTTTACTCAACACAGTGAATACTGTGAAGGATACAGAAGCACAGCTTTCAACTGGTTATGAATATGGCCAACAGTCTCCTAAAGATGAATCTAAACTCTTCATTAAAGGAGTTCCAAGAGCAAAATCTGCTGACAGTTTAAGAGATGCAGGCCGTCATATTGAGAACATAGTTCCAGTCCCAAGTTCATTAGATGATGATTCTGTGGCTTCCTTTGGACAAAAAGTTACAGATTCTACTACAGAGCCACACAAAGATGCATCAAAATCAGACTTCTCAAGGTCACTAAGTAGCCCAGCAAAAGTGACAACATCAGAAACCTTCAATAAGGATTTACAACAAGTCAAATGGACACCTCCATCAAGGGAACTGTCAGCTTCCTTAGATTCTTTAATAGAGAATGCTGTAAAGAAACAGAAATATGGTCAGAAGCATTGGACATTATTTGACTTACTTGAGAAGGGATACTATGAAAATGACACAGGTAGAGTTGTAGATCCAACAACAGGGGAGAGATATTCACTTGTGGAAGCTATAGAGTCTGGTCTGATTGATCACAATGCTAAAGTCATCTCTCCCTGCAGTAAGCAGCCTTTAACACTTCAGGATGCCATATCTAGAGGAATAATTGATCCAATCTGTGGAACTTACCATGACCAGAACATGCATAAGGACCTGACACTGCAGCAAGCTAAAGATGTAGGTTACATCTTCAAGGAAAGAGATCCTTCAAAGAGTGCAGTGGAAATATATGTTGAAGAATTCTTATCAGAGACAACTTCTACTGGAAGGAAGAAACTTGAAGAAGCCTTTGAGAGTGGCATCCTTCATAGATCAAACTCACAGGTCATTGATCCAGATACTGTCCAACCAATTACTTTGAGAAGAGCTGCTAGTTTGGGCATGATTGATGTCAAGACTGGTAACTATAAGAACCCTCAAACAGGGGAATGCATGTCACTGGCTGATGCTGTCCAAAGAGGTTTCATTCTGAGCCCCAAAGGGCTCAGTCTTTACAGTGCTGTAATGAAAGGACTATATGATTCAACTTCTGGGCAGTTCGTGGGACCAGTAAGAACTGATTCTTTGAAGGATCTCATTGAAGATCAAGTCATCACTCCCCTCTGTGTTGAAGTAAGGGACTTAAGTCATGACAGTGTGATATCCCTAGGGGAGGCAATAAAAAGAGGATTGATTGATCCTGACAGTGGCTGCTATGTTAACCCCTCCAGTAACCAGTCTTTTGACTTCAATGATGCTATAGCTGCAGGACTTATCCTCAGTAGTAGCTCAAGAGAAGGCTTACAAGAGGCTTCACAGATGAGACAGAAAAGCTCTGCAAGAGGTAAAGCTTTCCCAGAGAAAGATCAGACTCCAGTTGTGAGCGATGAGGGTAAGCCAGAGCTAGATGTTCTGAAAACAGATGAAACGAACAGACCAGAAGGTGCACCAATTGAGTCAGACAAGATGAGCAATAAACAGGAACCTGAAGTTGTTTGTGCAGCTCTTGCAGTACCGAAAAAGGACACAGTTGGTGTAACAAAACCACTTCAACCCACATTTGGTGTTGCATCAATGGGAGAGGTTGATTCAGGTGAAATACAAGCAGGAGGATCATGGACTGAAAGTGTGCAGAAACCTATTAAAGATGTTTATAACATCAGTGAGAGTAACAGAGAAGATGGCTCACAAGTTCATCACAACATCAAGGTTGATGATATTGGAAGAAGTGTTATGTCAGAAGGTGATGATACTCGAGGAAGAACTGATCTGGATATCAGTGGCCATGGTGGAATGGATGCATCACATGTCATTGAGGCTGGCAGGAAGGATGTTTCCGAAAGTCATGAAAATGATCAACATGTATTAAAAATTGTTGGAAAGAATGGAAAAGATGTTCCAAAGGCAAGTGGAAGTGCCAGAAAAGAAGTTTTAGAACTTGGCAGAGATGTATCAAAAATTGCAGGAAATGATGGCGAAAATGTCTCAAGAGTTAGTGAAAGTTCCAAAAAGGATGCTCCAGAACTTGGAAGAGATGTATCAAAGGTTGCAGGAAACATTAATGAAGATACTCCAAATGCTGTTGAAAATACCAGAAAAGATGTTCCAGAAAATGAAAGACATATAGCAAGAGTCGATGAAACTGATGGAAAAGATATTCCTAAAGTTCTTGAACGTTCCAGAAAGGATGCTTCAAGGGAACCTGAATATGGCAGAGAGGATGATATCAAAGTGAAGGCAAATGTGAAAGATGTGTCCAATATTGTTGAAAATCATGAGCAGAGAACAAAATCTGAAAGAGTACTCAAAGATCCATCCCCAGTAGTTAGTTCTTACTCCAAGGACAATGTACCCAACATGGCTGAAAGAGATGGTGTCAAGCAAAGTGTGGATCTTAAACCATCCATTAAGGTTGATTTTAGGAGCTCTAATGGAGATACTGACAGACCCCAAATCAAAACTACTGATGAAGCAGCAGCTGCAGCTGATACAACCAGAACACGAAGCACAAGAAATCAGAAGGCGGGAAAGCAGGCAGAATGGTCAGATTCAAGGACATTGAATCAGAGAGTGATTCCAATGACTCGATTGCATCCACAACACGTGAGAAGATCCATCGGCCATCAACCCTTGGCAGTGACCTGAAACAGAAAGTCGACCGAGCTCGTATCATCAGCTGGGATGAAAGTGATGCCAGCACCCCTGAGAGTGAAGCCAACAGGCTGAATGAGCTCATTTTGAAGATGAACATTAAAGCAGGCAACACAGCCAGGGAAAGGAGAAAGGTACTTGGCATGATCAACATTTCAGTTCGAATGCCATCTGCTTGCTGTTGAATTTTGCCCGCCGTGGAGTTAATCTTATCCATTTGGATAGAAAATGGATGAGAGTAGTGCATTTTGGATTTTGCCTGTGATGAGGTTATTTCTGCATGAAGGTTTTTCATTCAAATTTTGAATAAAATGGATTAAAGTATACTAACTGATGACATGGCCTGTTATGTGGCTGGTTGTCACGACAAGGAGCAACTGATGTTTCACCAAGACAAGACTATCATCTGAGGCATGAGGATCCAGGCTTTTTGATCCTAGATATCCACTAACAGATTTGATCGTATATGCAACATCCGCATGGTGTGAATTAAAGGAATGTTTTACTTTTTGTTCTTTGTGTTTTACATCAGGGACTAACTTAATAGATTCATCAGTTATGCATGGTGTTAATAGTCGATTTACACTTTTGATATTACTGAACAGTCAGCTCACTGATTGTGTATCTTATCTGAAGTATGTCCTTCTATGAAATCTGGGTCTTGTTAAATCCAGAATAAGCGACTCCGAAAGTAGGCATTATGCTTAACTACCATTAAGAGAACACTCATAAAAAAAATTATGTGATTTAGAAATTAATCAAATAATTACTATAAATTTTGTCAAAGAAAAAATATCTCGTTCACGTTTTTCTTAAAATAATAACTACATGGAATGATAAAAATATAACTTTTTTTAAAGGAATACATTGTTACACTGGGCAAATTAGGCAGAGTGCATAAATTTGCCCTTAGTCTTGGTATTTATGGTTTTTTACATGCTAAAAAAAAAAATGTATTAATTTTGACAAATATTTCATGTCACAATATGAATTGTATTTTAAATGATTGCGAAGATTCTGACTGTTGAGTCTTATCATTATTTTAAGTTTAATCAAACATATTTTCGTGTCACCAAATATTGATGTTAGTTGTACATATGTGTCGCACACTGTGAGCATTATATTTTGATTCTCATGTCTATGTTTCCTGGACTGTAGATAGAAAGACTTTGCTTGACAATACCTTATCTAACTCATCAGCTGGTTTCAGTAATCAGTGGTTTAGTTTGACACAGAAATGCTTGTCTATTCTGAAACAATGCGAGATGAGATGAATTTTGTATTGGACAAGAACAGTCTCATAAATGTATTTAACATATAGATTCTAGATGTGTTTAAAATTTATTCATGTCACCAAAGACAGACAACATCACTATGATTAATCTGTCATGTCAAGACAGATTAATGATATACTGCTCAAAAGAAGTTAAGGAATATCATATATTTTCATACTGCTGTATTAACTATCTACATCTTAGGCCAGACCAATTTTATTTCTTGTTTTACGGATTTTTGTCCTCAGAAAACCTAAAGGCGGGAGGTAAAAAAAATAAAAATCACTAGTCAAAGTAATATTTCTTTTGCATACTAAAAGTATTTTATTTTTGGCAGGTTATGAAGTGAAGTTTTGGAGCGGGGAAAATTAATTTTTATTTTTGTTCTTATTCTTGAAAAAATACGACCGGCGGATCCGTAAAACAAGAAATAAAATTGGTCTGGCCTTATCTATACATGAGAGAAAAGATAGTTTTCATTGACTTCTTTTGAGAAGTATACGGGTATATGTATTTCAGTGAAACTTTAAGAGACACTTGCAGGATCAGCTAAGTGTTAATCAATAACCCTTAATATGATTTGCAAGATCTCCCATGATTTTTACTCTTCCTAATCATGTGACAATGGACATGCTATCTGTGGTGACATTCTACTCACCTGCACGCCTTGTAACAGATTGTCAATAACCAGCTGGGAACCAGCAATGTAGACTTTGTATACTTATGCAGCTGTCAACATGGTATTCAAAACTGTTTCACGTACACATCCAGATATTTCATCTCATGTTTGACGGTTCCTACTTTGTCCCCCAGTATGTCTACTGTCACATGATCACTGACGAGCAGAAATCCCATGGATCCTGCACCTGAGAATGGTGTGGATACCATGTGTGACCTTCTGATTGTCATTGGTGATCGCTGCTCATGCTGTCAATCACTGGTTTTGTCTGGCAAGGATATGGAAGACTATGACAGCGCTATGATATTTCTAAACGCATGTACCTCTCAATTATTTATTTACAAACCCTGATACCAATACAACGTGTCTGATCAAATTACCATCATATAGCTAAGATCGAGATGCGTTGGTACTAAGTAAAGAGAATAAACATGGCATTTTAAGACTTGATTTCTATTCGAATGTTTCTTCTTCTCACTGGTCTTGATGTTCGTCAAGGAAAACACTTGATGTGTTGAATGTTTGTCCTATAAAGTATGTTTCTTTCTTTGGTGTTTACTTATTCGTGTGTGTGTTTATGTGATTAATTATGTTTTCTTATCAAGCTACACCGGGAGAATCGTCTGCATCATCAGCCAATTAATAAGCCTCTTTTTCAGACTGAAAATATGTTAAATTCTGCTTGCAAGTGTGTGTGGTCTTGTGTGCATGTGAAATATGTGGTTGGATGTTTTTAGAATTTAGACAGTTGTATTAATCATAAACACTTAGTTATGAGATCCCGATCTTCCCTTTCACCATTCATTATTCATTCTATGTGTATTAAATCCGTATAAAAATGTTGTCTTTGTAAAGAAAATTAAAAAGATTCTTAATGTTAATAATGAATACTATTTTTAAAGGTGTAACTGTCTTAATTTAACTCGTTCATAAAGTGAAATTAATTTCCATTCTTGTAGATTTGTATAAACTGAATTTGATTAAAGTGAAGCAGACAAAACTCTTTTTTAATCTATCTGTAAGTTTTTGTGTGATGCATTAAGACTATAATTCTGACCTGTGTTGTGTGTCCCTGTCACCAGGGGCGTCTGGCGGACTCGTACGAGAAGCTCATGCAGGATCTCAGCGCAATGAACAGAATCGTATCTCAGACTTCGAGCAGCTTCTGAAGGAGGACCAGCAGATGGGAGATGAGGCCTACAAGGTCCAGAGTCAGTTGGAAGCTCACAAGGTAAACGCCTGTTGCATGTCACAGATTGGAACATCATGTGAGAGGCCTGGGTTTGATTCCCCACAGGGCTACAATGTGTGAAACCAGTTTCTGCTGTACTTGCATTGCTGATAATTGTGTAGACCCATCCTCATTCATTGTGGTACAAAATAAAGCCCCTTTTTTAAGAGGGATTGTGGCAACAGTCACATGAGACAGTTGTGTAGAATTTATTTGTTAATTTGGTTACTTAGCCATAGTTACAATATCAGATCGTGGAGCAACATAGTATGAAGATAGTGATACATTGTCTCATTTCAATGAATGCACTATGTTAACCAGTCATGTAAATACATGCACTTGGTGCCTCAAAAGTCACACATACATTGAAATATTCATCAGGATAGTATTACAGTGATTATTATAATCCTATTGCGTCTCCAGTGGAGACTGACTCGTGAAGATCCGGGGTAGAATAGGTCTTCAGCAACCCATGCTTGCCACAAAAGGCGACTATTCTTGTCGTAAGAGGCGACTAACGGGATAGGGTGGTCAGGCTCGCTGACTTGGTTGACACATGTCATCGGTTCCCAATTGCGCAGATCGATGCTCATGCTGTTGATCCCTGGATTGTCTGGTCCAGACTCGATTATTTACAGACCGCCGCCATATAGCTTGAATATTGCTGAGTGTGGCGTAAAAATTAACTCACTCACTCCAGTGGAGACTGCAGAAGTTCCATGCCAGAAACCTGTGATCATGTGTTTGAATTCCAGATTTGATCTGAGTATTTTTCCAGGTTTCCATTTCTGTCTTTCTTCCCATTTTAGGGGCAGTGGGGTAGCCTAGTGGTTAAAAGCGTTGACTCATCATGCCGAAGACCCGGGTTCGAATCCCAACATGGGTACAATGTGTGAAGCCCCCGCCGTGATGTTGCTGGAATATTGCTAAAAGCGGCGTTAAACTAAATTCAGTCAGTCAGTCAGTCCCATTTTAGCTGACATATGACTAAAATACTGTTCTAAGCTGTGTCAAACCAAAGTGCATCTTCTTCCTCCAGGCTATCCATGAAGAGATCACTAGTCACCAACAGAGGATGCTGTCTCTGGTGTACCAAGCGGAACAGCTAACTGAACACTACCAGGAGGAACTGACGCCAGAGCAGGTCGTGGAGATTCAGACCATGGCTGCTCAGCTGAAGAAGAGTCTCAACAAGGTCAGCTATGAACCTGTTCAGGATGTGGTCATATGCTAACTGGTGTCAGTGACATCACGTCCTGTAGTATGAGAGGGCCATGGAGTAGCTTTGGGTTGAAATGTTCTCTCATCACATGGATGAACTGTGTCTTATCCCCCACATGGGTACAATGTGTGAAGCTCTTTTGGGGTAATAGTATGTTGATAAAAACTGCATGAGATTAGACTTTCACTCATTCTGATTGGTGAAAGTTGCTGCACTGACTATATTTAGGACAATATGGAAAACCTTTTGAGAATTGGCATGAAAACCATGCTCAGTCACTCACTTGTTCTTTGGTATCTGTCTTTGGTAGTGTTGATTTCCTTCAGTTCTCAGTTGCAGCCATGTTTTCAGTTACACAGTTGAAATAACTCTCTCTGAAATGAGTACTAACATACTTTGCTTTGTCAGCAAATGTCAGAAAGTTGCAAGTATACAGACACTGACAGCAGTGAATATGGATCATGCATTGACACTACTATAATCCTGTTCAGGTGGTGAAAACGTCCGAGACGCGTCTGAAGCACCTATCTACAGCCCTAGAGGAGTTGACCAAGTACGAGACCGAGCACAACAAGTTCCTGGTGTGGCTGACGACAGCTGAGAAGGAGCTGGACAGACAGGAGGAGTGCATGCAGAGATTTGAGGATCTCAAACCACTGGCAGACAAACAGAAGGTAGGAAGATGCTGCTGTTGCCGGAGGGAGTCAGATGTTTGCGGTTCCTGTGACATGTTACCTTCCCATCTTTCAGTCCTGTACACCCTCCAGTCTGTACCTCAATCAGCTCTCTGTGTATCAGGATAAAAAGGAAAATATTCGAAATAGTGTTCCACAATGCTTCAGTCTGTCTCAGTATTTGGAATACGTATCATTTTGAAATTTGGAATAACCACACCAAGTCGTGAAAATCTGAACTTTATTTCCTGATTCTTTCTACAGATCTCATATCCTTCATTTCAGAACCTGTTGTCTGACATTGTGGCCCATCAAGCTGATCTCAGGTTCATGTCAATGACGTCGCAGAAATTCATGGAGGAAGCCAAGGTATGTGTAGCCTTTATTTATTGTGATCTTAAGGTTTCATTTTGGTGGCACAGTGGCTCAGTTGTCTCAAAGGGGAGGTGGGGTAGCCTAGTGGTTAAAGCGTTGGCTCGTCATGCCAAAGACCCGGGTTCGATTCCCCACATGGGCACAATGTGTTAAGCCCATTTCTGGTGTCCCCCCGCCGTGATATTGCTGGAATATTGCTAAACTCAGTCAGTCAGTCAGTCAGTTGTCTCAAATCCTGAAATTCAGTATTGGCGTCTTGTATAAACCTGTGATCATGGGTTCAGATCCTGGTTTGCCTAATTATCTTTCTAGGTCTTTGAATACCTAATTCTTGCATCATTTCTTGCTTTCCTCCATTGTCATGAATCTGACATACCATAATATGGCTGAAATACCCTAACTGTTCAATCACTCAAGTCACAGTCAATTTCATATAAAGAAAACAAAAAGTTCTTTCTAATACAAGCAGCTTTCACATTAAATAGTCCAGGTGAGTATAATTCTGATGAATATATTGCTTTCCAGCTTCACAAACTGGAGGTTGAAGCTTTCAAAGCAGACCGACAACGCCCAGCTCGCCTCAGTCTTATCAGTATGGAGGGTCTGGCAGCAGAAACTGTCAAGGAGGATTTCAAGGAAACCCAAACACGCTACCAGGATCTGAAGGGCAAGTGCGGCAACTTTGGTGAAAGGTTGAACGATCTGGCCAACAAACAGAGAGACTATAATGACGTGGCGTTCAAACTGCTTCAGTGGCTGACAAAAGCTGAAGACAACCTTATGTCCATCAAGCAAGAAAGTGGATCTCCTGATCCCAACAGACTTCATGATCAGCTGGAAAAGCTGAAGTCACTTAGGACTGATGCCATTGCACAGTCTGGTGTTGTTGATGATTTCCAAAGAAAAGGAAGGAACTTGACCAATGGTCTGAGTGGCATCTCTGCTGACCCACAACAACTTGGTAAGATGCAAGATACTCTGAAGGACATTACCAGCAGGTACGAATCACTCAACAAAGACATTGATGAACAGACAAAGAATCTACAGACTGCCATAACCAAGTCTCAGGGAGTCAAGGAGGCTGTCGGTGGTCTGCTCAACTGGATGAAAGATGCTGAAAAGGTGATGAAGAAACAGAATGCAATCAGTCTCAACCCAGACAATATTCAGGAACAGATGCAAGAGTTCCGTGCTGTTGAGAGTGATATCTTGAATCATAAGTCCAGCATTGACTCCATCAAACAGGGAGCCATTGATCTCATCAAGACCTGTGACCTTGAGATGGCCCGTGCCCTTGAATCACAAGTTGAGGACATAGACAAGCAGTATGCTACCATTCAAAAGAAGGTTGAGGTCAGAGGACGCGACCTTGAGGATGTGTCAGCTAATCTGAAGAAATTCCAGGATGAACTTAAAGACTCAAATCAATGGATAGTAGCAAACATTGATAACATGGAATCAAAGGACTTTAACAAAATGCCAAGTGAAGAGATGAAATCAGAACTGGAAAAAGTAGCTAACCAGAAGAACAGACGAGCTGGATTAGTTTCTGACATCAAGAAACTTGGTGACTCCCTTGTGAAAGATCCAAGAACAGGAGAAGTGACTTCTGTGAAGGACTCCCTTGCCGAGCTAGAGAGGAACTGGGATGACCTGACTGTTCTTCTGGCTGACAAGGAGAGAGAGAGGCAGAACAGAAGGAGAAACAGGACAATGAATTTGAGAATGCCAAGACCTTGATTCTTCTGTGGCTGGCAGCGATAGAGTCTCAGTTGGATTCCTTTGAGCCTGTTGCTGTTGACATTGAGACAGTGGAGCGGCAGATTGCAGAACTACAGGTGAGACGATGCCACAAAATTAAACTTTTGGTTGTAGAAATTATGACAGTATATAATTCACACTGAGTAATCTTAATAAGCTCACTTTTAACTCTCTCAGACAGGACTTAAGTTTGAAGAGGGGAAAAAATGGCTGAATAAAGAATTCAGGCTGGTAATTAATTAAAAAAAAAAAAAAAAAATCTAATTTGGAATCAGTTTGTTTTGGATTTTGTTAAAATGTTAAGTTGCTTCTTTAGGTTTGGGGTTTTTTTTCAATTAAAATTTGGGATGTTTTTTTTCAGCAATCAAATTCAAAATGTTTACGTTACCTGTTATAATGTTATGAACAATGTTGTGTATTTTGGTAGCAACAGGAAAAAGGTTTTGTCTAAATCCTACTTTTGATTTTATTTGTTCTTATTTGTTAGTACAGCCATCAAGTTTAAACAAAAATATTGTTTTACTTCAGCCAATGCTTGAGGAGTTTGAGGGTCATGGTGAGAAGGTGGATGAAATCAATGACCTTGGCAATGCTCTTGAGATGATGCAGTCATCCTCGGAACGACCTCTCAGCCCATTCAGAAGGATCAACAGTAAGTTCCAGCTTACTACTGCTTGCTTAGTGTCTTGGACCAGATGCATGTCAGAACTGCATTTTGGCATTTTCATGATCACCAGTCATTTCATTCAAATTCAAATTTCAGATTTTCTGAACTTTTCAATGTTATGGGTTCTAAGTAGATAGCAAGGTTTCAAACCTTTTTTGGTAGCTGGGAGCTGAGAGCTTTATTATCCAGATGTAAGTTGGCAAGCAATATGGGTTTGATAGATAACCAGTTCTGATATTAAAATCAGCATTGCTTGCATATGTATGCAGTGTCTTTATGTATGTACATGTATCTTCCTCGAGGTTGACCTCATTGCTGCCAACTTGTATCTGGTAGCGGTTTGAGACTGGACACTTGCTCTGACTCTCAACGATTTAAGGATCTGTGTTAGGATTGTCATAAGATTTATTAACCAATGCTGTCAGGAGGACCAACTTGAAGGGTTTGGTGCATTGTATCACAATCTGCTGTTGAACTGATCCACTTTGCAGTGGGAGTTTCAGCACTTTAATTTCCATTATTTCTTCCAAAAGCACCCATATCTTTATTGATGGTTTCATGTTGTAATCTAGTTCACTGTACTTAAATTTGTAATTGCAGTTGACAAATTCTTTTATGCCCAAAAACGTCAGACAAATATTCACATTTATTACTTATGATCATCTTTATCATAAGATAACCTTACCTGAAACATACTGTTTTGGACATAATTCTATATGCGATTATATACAAATAACAATTTGAAACAAACTGTGAACATGAAACCATCTATCTATACATCCTCCTTCACCGTCATGCTCTGTGCATCCACATCTTGCCCGTCTGCCACCAGGTCGGAGACGCCTTGGTCTATATTCTTCGCGACTGCGTACCCCTTCCCCCACATTCCCCACGTCCCCGACCACTCTGGCCACCAGCCCTCTGTCCAGCGAGTCCAGCGGGGTAAGCAGCAGGAAGAGCAGCTCCGACAACTTGCTGCTGGACGGTATGTACATCTCCTCGTCATTCATTCACGTCCATTACCTGGGTTGAGAGGATTTGCTTGTATTGCACCTTGGTTGAAGGGTTCTCTTTACCATAGTTTTTGGTTTGGGAATACATTTATGATCGTTGACCAGGCTGTTATTCCTTAAAGTAATCATAGTGCTACTGCTGTCGTATGTCTATATTAAGTATATGCGACTGTCTTAGCACTAAGATGCTTTTTAGAATATGGTACTTTTTATATTTATTCAGATTGTCTACAGATAACTATTACCAGATTTGATATAGGAATAAACATTCAGGTTTGTTTTTTTCAAAAGAAAATCTATTTTATTAAGTTCAGTGCATGCTTATAAAATTTAAATTACTTTTCTTTAAATTTTGAATGTACTTACATATTTGTTTATTCTTTTTAATTGATTTCTTATATATTCAAAGAAAAGTATTTATCTCCAAATAGAGGAAATCAAACTTATTTAATAGCATGCGCCTTATTTTGTGTGCTGTGAGTGGAGAGTACATATCAAAGCATACATAAATAGAATAACATATATTGGTGGTGTATTGCTGTATTTAAGATAATATTCAGAGATATTTGTTGTGTACCCTGTATCTGTACTGTGGACCCATATATAGATGAACCAGTGTATCATGAACACAACTAACATGGCCGACCTTGCATGTCTAACCCCACCATTAGCAGACCAGGCAGGCCACAGACACGGCACAGTGTGCACTTGCATTGTACGCACATGATTAGAATTATGTGTATTAATTAAAGTAATCATTATTGATCAATAGTGTGTAATCTCTGATCATTGATTTCGTGAAAGTATGTGCCATCATTGTATTTTTTATCCAGTAAAGCAAGTAAATCTAAAACTGAAGAGGTGTTTATAAGGTTTAACGTGTGCCGTTTGTTCCAGAATAGTCAAGATTTAAGTAGTCATGATTACTACTAATCGCTACAGTAGCATAAGATGTTCCATGGAAGACCATGGACTGTCTGTAAAACAGATGTGATATTTTGTCCTATATGGTTGGACACATAATGAAATTATGAATAACACCTTGCTCCCTTGAATACATAAGACCATTTGCATTCTTGATCTGTCACTATGACTTTTGCATCAGAATGGTTTCTGATTTTTTTTTTCGTGTGAAATATATTCAACCATTTCAGGTTTCATCAGTTAACAAATATATTTTTCTTTCAACACCTTCAGTGCATGTCTGCAGATTCAACTGAATCTTTGTTAGTGTTAAGATGACATTAAGTGAGTGACAGATACCCTTGTTCAGATCTGTCTGAACTCGACAACACTTACTAGACATAAAAGAACATCTAAAAATTATGTTCATTGTGGGTTTTATTATTCTTCAATAAACAAATGATTTCTCCAAACGTATAGGTCAGCAGTTATTGTTAAGATGACCTTAATGGCTGACCAATGCTGTTGTTCAGATCTGTCTGAAACTGGCCAATGGCTATTTGACATCAAACACTGTCTGACATATATACTCAGCAGCAAAATAAACATCAGTACGAATTCAACATTAGATAGACACAGTAATCAAATCATTACAGAAATTGACATAATAAGCGGATCAAAAACAATTTTTCTGTACAATATCTTGACACATCAGCGAATAACTGAATAACAATTCCAAGACATTACGTGAACGTTTGCAGTCCTTTCAGACTCTTGACTTCAGTATCTAGTGTGACCACCAGGAGCGTCAATAACTGCAGCACAGCGTCTATGCATGGAGTGCACCAATCGATTGATGAAGGCCATTGGCACCTGGAACCACACTCTGAGAAAGGCCTGGCGCAATAAATCGGATGTGTTCGGCCTTGGTATGACATTATCCAGTCTCCTCTGAATTTCATCCCAAAGATGTTCAACTGGGTTTAAATCAGGACTAAGAGCTGGCCATTGCATAATGTTGACACTGTTGTGCTGTAGGAAGTCCCGTGTAGCTCTGGCAGTATGGGCCCGGGCGTTATCATGCTGGAAAATGTTGTTCCGGTGACGTGCGAAATATGGTATGACGTGGGGTCTGAGAGCTTGGTCGATGTAGCACACCGCTGTGATGCCGCCTCCTCTCCCTGGACCAAGGTTCTGGAACACCACAGGACCCACTCTCTGGTTCAGGCCTATTCCACACCATACCATGATGCTTGCACCTCCCCATGAGTCTCCTTCCAATACACATTGGTCTGAGTATCGCTGGCCATGTCGTCGCCATATTCTTGTTCTGCCATCTGCAGTTGATACGCAGTACCGACTCTCATCTGTGAACAGAACAGTTCCCCACTGCCTGCATTGCCAGTTTTGGTGTTGTAGGGCAAACTGTAGACTTCACGCCCATGACGAGGGGTGAGGATAGGTCCACGGTAAGGTCTACGGCAATGGAGGTTCCCGCTGTTAAGACGTCGGCGTACTGTATCAGTACTGATTGGTTTTCCGTGTGTCCCCACTGTCTGGCGTGCTGTTTCTGATGTCTGCATGAAGGGATTCTGTACATGCTGTTGCACAACATGGCGGTCTTGTCATCTTGTGGTCACCCTTGGTCTGCCAGTACGGGGGCGATCATTTGTGGTGTTGGTGGCCCTCGGAAACATTGCTGCAGCCTGTAGATGGTCCGAACGTTGACCTGGAAGTGATTGGCAACGGCTTGTGCAGTGTGGCCAGCTTCCAGTTTTCCTAGCGCCTGGTTCCTCTGAGCTGTCAGGATTCGCAGCATCCTGCTGACGTTGTAATGTGAATGTTTCAACCAGGTTTGGGGGTGCATTTTATAGGGCTGGTCCTTGTGAACAGCACGTGCAGCATGAGTTGCATGAAAAACATGGAGAACACCATACCATCTCCGAGATCAGATTGCGTTTTTGAGACCATTTGCTGGGTTCCATTCTGTGTTTGGGAAGGAATGCCTTTGCTCAAGTAAAGTTGGAGATGTTGTCAAAAATATACAATCAAACATTAAGTGAGTTTACAGTTATCCGTTTCTACGAAGGAAAATTCCAAACTGACGTTTCCTTTGCTGCTTAGTATATATTACCATATTAGGTTTCATTAATTTCATAAATAATTTTGGTTTCAAATACAGTGACATATTTTGTTTTTTAGTTGATATAGCCTTTAGTGACTGAACCAATGCTGTTGTTCAGATCCATCTGAAAATGGTGAATAGACATAAAATCATCTCATGAAATGTATGCCGGGAATACACGGTTTACCCCAAAAATCTTTCAAGTACAGGACCGAATCTTTATTGTTATGTTGATTAACGTTAATGACTGACCAATGGTGTTGTTCAGATCTGTCTGAAACCCAGCAACAGCTGTTGGACATCAATCAACGGTATGACATCGTGGGCGAACGCATGGCTGACCGGCAGCAGGAGCTGAACACGGTCCTGGCCAGCATCAAGACCTTCCTGCAGGACCTCCAGGACATGCTGACCTGGCTCGACATGAAGGACGGCGACATCAGCAAACAGGTGGCCTCCATCCCCACCAATGAGAAGGAGGCCAAGAGGAAGCTGAAGGACCATGAGGTAACAGATGCAACTTGCCTGAATTTTCAGTTATAAATATTTGTATAAAATAATTACCAAATTCCTGTTCAGTCATTATCAGTTATTGGATGAGGATGTCGACTGGTTTTTCTGTCAGAGTTTTTGAGTTTTTAACTTCTTTGAGGTATTTAATGTTGTTGTGAAAGACTTATGCAAAATGAATGAGAAATAGATCGTTGACAATTTATTTGAATTTTGTTGTGAGGGAGAAGAAAAGTCTAGTTGAATGCCACTTTTTGTGGTTGTTTGCCTGAAGTTGATGCGGGGGGTTTATGTTGGTATGGGTGTAGATACTGATATAGGTGATGTGTTTTAGGCATTCCACCGAGAGCTGTTGGGCAAGGAGGGTCTCGTGGAGGACATCAGGAAGAAGGCTCAGCACCTGCTGAAGACCAAGCCTGGAGTCCCTGGACTAGACACTCTTCAGTCCCAGATCTCACAGCTAGGTCAGTACCTCAGAATCTGTGCAGTATTGGTAGTGAACAATCTCTTCACTAATTGACAGGACTGTCACAAAAGAAATTATACATCTAATTAACCATAATGAATACATGTTCTTCCAATTGTCATAACCCGTGAAGGTCCGGGTTAGAATATTGATGTTCAGTAACCCATGTTTGCGCAGATCGATGCTCATGCTGTTGATCACTGGATTGTCTGGTCCAGACTCGATTCTTTACAGACCGCCGTCATATAGCTGGAATATTGCTGAGTGTGGCGTAAAACTAAACTCACCCCAACTGTCGTAAACTCAGATTGTGCTTGACGAATCTAGTGTGACAGGAAAATGCCGTCACAGAAATTAGTTAAATGACTGTGAGGATTAAGTTCTTCCCTGAAGTGAGATCATATTTTCTGGGCTTGCTAAATCTGACACTCTTTATCTTACTGCTGATATTCCTGAAGACATTTTCTCGCTGTTTGTTTTCACCAGATGACAAATGGCATGGACTCCGCGCGCTACCTCTGAGCAGCGCCGTAAGAGCCTGGAGGACATGGTGTCCCACTTGAAAAGCCTGCGTGAAAATGGGGATCAGCTCAACAAGTGGCTCACCCAAAAGGAGAAGATGCTTGACGTTTTGGGGCCAGTTGCTACGGAGCCTGCACTCATCCAGACCCAACTGGACCAGGTCAAGGTGAGTGACCAGATCAAAGGTCAAGAGCATATTGGGTGTTTTGACCTTGGCAAAGGTCAGCCAGCATTGTGGAGGTAATCTTTTAGCAGTTGTTTGAATTTTTATGGCATTTTATAAAGCCAATATTGGAATTAGGATTTAAGACTAGCGAGAGGTATTATCATTTTAAAGACTAGATTCCAGTTATCATGTATCTAGATCTTGATAGTATTCATATAAGCAAGAAACTGAAAAACTGACCTTCTCATGCCTGCACTCATTACTCACTTTGGAATAGGTTTCAGAAAGAATTCTTATTGAAAATGTATTATATCTGTAGGTCCTTTCTGAGGAGTTCAGCAGCCAGGAGCCCTTGTACGATCAGTTCATCCATGCTGGTCACTCCATACTGGACAAATGTGACCCAGAGTCACGTGACGCTGCTACCATCAGCCGCAAGATGGACACCATCAGCAAGGGCTGGGAGAAACTGCAGAGCCGCCTCAACGAGCGACAGTCCAGTTTGAGTGCCATAGAAGGCATTGGATCTGAGTTTGCACAGAAAACCAGCATGTTACAGAACTGGGGCCACGACTTCCACAACCGACTGGACTCGCTCCCACCCGTCAGCCCATACCCCCGAGAAACAGAGCAGGCAGGCTGATGAGATGATTGTAAGTGGCACCTGGTTCCAAGCTCAGTTAAATTCTATGTGACTGTGTATGCTTCAGAGGAATTGAACATTATAGTCTTGCTGAAGGACAATTTATTTCCCACTTGTGGTTTGTCAGTTGATTAAAATTCATCTCACACTTGCTTACAAGAAGTGAAACAAGGTATTAATATGTTCCTATCTCCCTGTAGGAATTGGCGGAGGAGATGGTCGAACAGACACCTGTGTTTGCTCGCACCAAGGAGTTGTGTAAACAACTCAGTGAGAAGACCAAAGACTCTGCCACCAAAGCAGACCTTCGTGCCAAGCTGGCCAGGGTTGAGAAAACCTTCGCCGATGCCCGAGAAGAAAATGGGTAAGATTATAGTTTAATGATACACTAAGAAATATTCCAGTCTGGAATTATTGTGCCTCTACAGTCGTAAGGTTATTTGACTTGGATCGTTTCATGCTGTTTGGGCTCAAAATGTTACTTAATTATTAAATATTCTTATGAATGGTATGCATAAATTGAGACATATGTTGTCTCTCTGTTTTAGATGCAAGGAATGAAGCTCTGGAGGTGGCTGGCAAGGAGGGGCAGAAGTTCGCTGCTGACTGTAAGGAGAACCTGGCATGGATCACCGATGTATCTCGCAGACTCCGAAACCAGGAGCCTCTCTCTGGGGATCAGAATGTGCTAAAGAAACAGGCAGATGATCACAAGGTATGGAGTGTAGAATTACAGCTGAATTAATTTGTCAGCATGGAAGAGAGATAGAAAAATCATGTTCATGTTGTGTCGTATTCTACATAAAGAAAATTAGTTTGAAATTACTACCTTGACCAAAACATGTCAGGTCAACTCTACTCACTCACCCTGTGTGTTTTAAGGTTTTGCTTCAAGATCTTGCTGCCCAAGAGCCTGATATAAAGGATCTCTTGGACAAGGGACAGAAGATACTTGAAAAAGCTTCTCCAACCATGGACACAAGGAATATCGCAGAAACCCTGGATCAGATCCAGGCAGAGTGGAAGGATCTCCAGGACTCGGCCAAGGACAAGGAGCAGGATCTTGGTGAAGCCAAGGCCCATGCCAAGAAGTACCAGGACTGCCTGGACAAGATGCTCATGTGGATGGACATGTCAGAGGACAAACTGAAGAAGACTTCGCCAGATAAACTGGATAAAGACACTGTTGGCAAGAAGCTGAAGGAGCTTCAGGTGTGTTGGCAATGGATACTGGTGGAGAAAAATTATGATGGTCATGAGAAAAATGACAATGTGTGAAAAATAATGATGATGATGATGATGATGTATTGTGAAAATTTACAAATCAGTTACTAATGTGACAAGAGCCAATTTGAACAGTGTTCTTTTACTTTTTCAATATCTTTGTAATACAACACTCACAGTCCTAAGAATATGTTTGTCATTTCTTACAATTCATACCTCTTGCCCTAGGTTGATGTACTGAGGGTATAGACAAGTCCAAAATTCATGTTTGTTTTGTATGACAGGCCCTGCAGAATGATGTCCTCAAGAAGACCCATGACCACGATCACCTGAACCGGGAAGGAGAGGCCCTGATGGAATGTGTGAAGGATGGCCGACAGAATGTTAGGAACCAGCTTGATGACCTAAACAACCGCTGGGAGCATCTCAACTCAGGCATCACCGAGAGGAGCCAGAGTCTGGAGGACCTCCAGCAGAGGCTGGCTGAGATCCAAGACAACATGTCTGATGCCACCGGCAATCTCCTCAAGTGGGAAAACAAACTGGAATCTCATCTTGCTCTCGGACAAATGTCAAAGGATCCCAAATATCTGGACAAAATCAAGGTAGCCATTAAATTCTGTTAATAGAGATTGTGTGTTAGGGAAGAGCGTTGTCTACATTGCAGCAATTCGCTGAGGAGGGTTGCTTCCTTTGGGCACCCAAGAAAACCCCTGATGATGTGTCCATATCCTGGTTCAATTTCTGTCTGTGTTAAAAAACTGTTAAAAGTCGCGGGTTTTGGTGTTAAACCCAACTCCCTCACTGATACCTTGACAACTCCAGATTACTTCTTTGATGGGCATTTTAAAAGTTGAGTTGATGAAGAATAATGACAATTATTATGGATATACAACTTCTTTTATTCTGTGGAGGCGACGTTTCGACATAGGTTCTAATGTCGTTGTCAAGCAAGTGTCCAACACAGTGACTCACTTGCTTGACAGCGACATTAGAACCTATGTCGAAACGTCGCCTCCACAGAATAAAAGAAGTTGTATATCCGTAATAATTGTCATTATTCTTCAATTACAGATTACCACTGAAGATAACTCAGTTGAAAAAGTGAATGAAGCATGTTACTTATCCACTGCTTACACAGGCTCTGTATATTTGTACTTGGTTCATAATCGTTGCATCCAAGTCCTCTTCGTGAATAAACCTATGAAGGTTCGGGTTAGAATATTGATCTTCAGTAACCCATGCTTGTCGTAAGAGACAACCAGCGGGATCGGGTGGTCAGGCTCACTGACTGGTTGACACATGTCATCTCACTCACTCTTTGTGAAAACAACACAGCGACTGCATGTCCATCAGTTGTCCTACATGTATCTGTCCTGTGTTCCAGAACCTCCAGGAGGATGTTGGAGGCCTCCAGGACCAGCTCGACTACCTGGACGCCCTGGTTGAGGGAATCAGTCTGGAGGCTTCAGAGGACCCAGACACAGCAGAGCTCAAGGCCAACGTGGACAAGGTTCGGGACAGACAGGATGCCCTCCAGGAGAATCTCAACGAGTTGCTGGGTGACATGGAGACTGGCTCTCAAGTTGTTGGACAGTTCCAGGTGAGATGCATTTCCTGGTGTCAGTAAGGTTGCATCCACAAAGTTATTTAATGTACACTGTGGGATTTTTGGGGGGAAATAGTAAGTGCCCTAGTAAGTTCTGACTTAAGATGTTTGGGCGTCGATTTGTGAATGTGGATGATTCTATGTCATGAGCAGTATGTATGTATATTGCTGCAATATTTTATCGCTATTTTATCTCTGTATTTCAAGATCATGTTTGCTTTAAGACTTGAGTGTACTAGCAGTAATACCTGTTTCATTATGTTCCAGGGACAACTAAGGAATGTAGCTGGAGAGATGTCTGATCTGGAGAATGAACTGAAGAAGATGGGCCCAATAGCCCGTGATGAGAACACCCTGGATGCCCAGAAACAGGACCTTCGGGTAGGTCACTACTGAATGTGGATGGTCAGCTACGTTCCTTTGTCTGCTCTTCTGTTCAAATCCCTTCATTGGCAGAATTGAATTCCTGTGTAATAAAAACAGTATCAGACAATTTTCACTCCTATATTCTATATTTGAGTGACCTGTGATTCAGTGTGTGTGTTATCGAGTGCTTGTATTGCAGGAGTACCAGAACCAGCTGGAAAACATGGGCGATGCTCTACATGACCTGGAGAGACAGAGTGACGATCTGCTCAGAGCAGGATACATCTCTGACCCAGACATGCTTCGAACACAGGTAAAACTACAACTTTATTCATTGTCCTCTTTTTCACCCATTTGAACAGACATGTAACCTTGTTGTTGGCATCAACTCGTCATGCTGATGATGTGTGAAGCAGCAGCCCTTCCGTGATGTGTTGAAGTTTGCTAAAAGTGGCGTTAAATCATCACTCTTTATGAAACTACAACCTTAATCTTGACATTCTGTTTCCCTAGTTATCAAGGCATTTGCCAGGTCTGAATGGGTACAGTGGACCCAATTGTCACTACACAGAGTTCTTGTCTATTTGTTTCATTGTTGTCAAAAATATCAACATGGCTGTATTGCTAGGTTTGTCAGCACCATATCTGTGCTTGTGGAGTACACCAAATTGAAAAGCTTTCATGCCATCAAACTGACCTATAGTCTGTTTGCAGTAAAAACGTACCGATGAATTTCACTTTAAACAAAAAAGGAACTTGAACATTCAATTGGCAGGGTAAAGTTATGAGGATTCGCAATCTTAATTTCACTTTATTTCATTTACTCTTTTGTTTAAAGTGCAATTCATCGGTACGTTTTCTTTGCAAACAGACTATAATGTATCATAACTGACACACTGTGCAGGGCATGTCACTCTTTCTCTCATGACTTTGGCATGAGAATGGGAAGATCAGCAGTTGATGAGAGAGATCAAAGCTGCAAGTTTCAAACTACTGATCTAAACATCTGCTGACTTGTCTTTACAGCTCGCCAACCTGAAGAACCAGCACGAGCGCCTGACTGATCAAGCCAGACAACGGTCTGATGATATTGAAGCCACCCAGGACAAGGTGAAGAATGTCAATGACAATCTGAAGAGACTAAGGAAGGATATGGATGAGACTGCAGACAACCTGGAGTCTCTGAAACCTGTTGGTGGAGATGTCGGTCTCATCAAGGAACAGCAGGATGAACTCAAGGTCAGATGGGGCAGATGTAGAATCGGAAGTTTTGAATACCATTCCTTTAGTGATCCAATGTGAAACTTGCTATACTTGGGATTACGCTTTACAGTTGTCAGACTGGTACACAAATTATGTGATCCAGAATACGAGTTGTACTACTTTCAGTTTTGGAGAAGAGTTATTGGCTGAATGGGTTAGATTGCTGACTTCAAGCGTTGGCAGTTTGGTTCCTCACAGAGGGTTGGGATTCGACACCATAATTGGACACAACCCATAAACTCTCAAATTTGAACTTTCCTAAGATTGTGTAATCCAAAATATTACAATCGTCACATTGGAAAAGAAGTTGTGGATTAAACCTGATTGTAACAGAGACACTTTCAGTGATACTGATGAAGATAGATTTACTGTTCGATATTGGCCATGCTTAATACATGTGGAAAAAGCAGTAGGTGAACTCAGTAAATGAATATAATTATGTGCATTCAATATTTAGAGAAGTTGTTTGTGTGATTTGTTGATCTGCAGTTAAAAGCGTTATTTCGAAATGTTATTTGTAAGATGATGGTTTTATTTGAACACTTTGTGATACCTGGTCCGTTGCAAAAAAGTGCAAGTGTATGTAATTCTTTTATTCAGAATGTTGTTCGCAACCACATTGAGCCACTCCAGAAGCAAATCGACGTCGTTACTTCAGAAGGACAAAGCCTGATTCAGTCTGTCCCACCTGGAGTAGACACATCTGAACTGGAAACTGATCTGGAGGTCCTTGCTGACAAATGGTCACAACTTAATGAGAAGGTATGTGACATTCCTGAGGTCTCACATGAAAAAGCCTCACCTCTTTCCTGGTTAGAATAGGTCAAAAGTAAACTAAGCTGTTCATTGAACTGAATTATAACTTACATGATAAAGGGAAAACACTGGACTGCTCAATTCCGGTACAGTGAGTGAGTTTAGTTTTAAGCTGCACTCAGCGATATTCCAGCTATGTGGCGGCGGTCTGTAAATAATCGAGTCTGGACCAGACAATCCAGTGATCAACAGCATGAGCATTGATCTGTGCAATTGGGAACCGGTGACATGTGTCAACCAAGTCAGCAAGCCTGACTACCCGATCCCGTTAGTCGCCCCTTACGACAAGCAGTCGCCTTTTGTGGCAAGCATGGGTTGCTGAAGACCTATTCTACCCTGGATCTTCATGGGTCTCCGGTACAGGCATTGCAGATTGTGCAGTATGGTTCGTCTTAGGATAAGGCACTTTTGTTTGTTAATCCAAAGCCATACTCAGTTTCAGTTTGCAGGCCTACAAATAATATTTTAGCCAATGCGACAATTTAAGTCGTTCTTTCTTGGACTTCTTACAGCCTTGATCATTGTATATATGATCCTGGGTTCGAATCCCTGTTTCACTCTGATTAAGTGTCTAGGTTTATCAGCACCATTCACAAAAAAGTGTAGACATGTATGATTTGCTTAACTTCCACCATGTATCCAGTACACAGTGACATAACCACATGTTTTTTTAGTATTAACTAACCTCACCCACTCACTCACTCCAACAGCCTTGGCAAGGTTTTCGACTATGTTTGCTAACCACAACAGAATTCTGTCCAATCTGGTTGGTTATGATGGCCATTGTTTGTTTCCAGGTGTCTGACCGTGAGAGGAGCCTGGACAGTGCCCTGTTGCAGTCCGGTAAGTTCAACGATGCTCTGGACTCCTTGCTGTCCTGGCTGTCTGAGACAGAGGACATGGTGGCCAACCAGAAAGCTCCATCACCTGAGTTCAGGGTCGTCAAGGCACAGCTCCAGGAACAAAAGGTAAGCAAAGGAGTTACAATCATTGTTGCTCAGATCTTTTTGTGAAAGTGGACCCAGGACAAGAGTTGTTAGTGTAGCCTGATGTGTTCTCATTCCATACTGAAATATCCATCATCCTGTCATATCATCCCCCAATCTGACATCCGTGTTTGTCCTAACAGTTCCTGCAGAAGATGCTGGAGGACAGATGGCCCAGTGTTAACAACCTGAAGGACACTGCAGAAACCCTCCAGTCCACCGTAGACCCTAAGGAGAAGAAGAAGATCCAGAAGCAGATGGGTGACCTTGATGCTCGATGGGGAGCTCTGGCCAAGAAGGCTGATGAAAGGATGGCGATGTTGGAAGATGTGGTAAACCTTGCCAAGGACTTCCAAGGAATCACTGAACCTCTGACCTCATGGTTGACTGATGGAGAGAAGAAGTTTGCCCAGCTTGAGCCCAAGGCTCTTGATGCTGAGGGGATCAAGAAGTTGGTGAAAGAACTCAAGGTTAGTTAAATATGTTCTTTCTTTAACAGAATTTATCTTGAAAAATACTAACCATTTGTTCTTCTGGCCCCAAATTAATTAGTCACCCAGTATTCTCGTTCGTCTTCCTGTTTGAATATTTTATGGGCACACAAAATTGGTGACTTCTCCTTTCAGATAATGTGAAGAGGTTTTGAAGCACTAAATTAGCTAAATATTTTATCTCAAAACAGAATTCCAACATTGTATCAGTTTAAAACATTATGAACACTTGAGTGTTTTCCATTGCAGCAACTCCAAGATGAGATTGATGAAAAGGATGATGATGTTCATAGTCTGGCCTCCAAAGGCAAGAGTCTGCAGGATTACTGCAAAGGTGATGACGTGGTCTTCATTCAGAAGAAGATAGATGATGGTCAGAAGAGATATGGGGACCTCAGGAACAAGGTGGAGGACATCCTGGAGCAGATGGAAGAAGCTCTCCCATTGGCTGAGAAATTCCATAATGCCCATACCAAGCTCCTTGATTGGTTCAACAAGGTGGAACCAGACGCAAGATCAAAGGATGTTGTTGGTCAGGATGCTGAAGAGCATGTACAGGTAAGCATGTTTTAGAGTGGTAGAAAGTCTAAAGAATTACAAAGAATGTCTACTTAATTGAAAGATCAGTATTCTTTGTTTGTTAAAGTTTGAAGTTGAATTATGAAAGCTGATGATGGGGGATATTGGATGCTTGCATTTTGTCCATTGAAAGCTTCAGTGCCTCAGCCTGTCTGAGAAGATCTTTAGTTATATGTAGGTCCATAGATCCATTTATGGCCACAGTGTGACCTGGCACATTCAGTTCTCTGTTTTCTCTCAATGTGCTTGTGAGATTGAGATGATAGGACTACAATATATTTGAAATTTAGTTTTATCACATAAACCTGATGACTGTGATGTTGAAGCTGTTGCCTCCGCTGCTGTTTTCATCAATGAAAATGTCTATTTAGGTTCTCATGGACCAACTTGAGGAGATTGAACCTATCCTTGAAGTTCTCAACTCTGAAGGCAACGACTTGGCGGACTTGGCTCCAGGAGACTCTGGACTCCGTATTGAAGACCTCATCTCCAAGGACAACAAGAGGTTTGAGAATGTCAAAGACCAAATTGCCAAGAAGGCCGAGAAGGTCCAACTGTCCAGACAGAAATCAAATGAGGTGGGTGATGTCAAGTGTCACAGAAGCATATGTGTTACAAGGAATCTGTTCTTAATGGTTTCAGATATTGAGAATTTTGACTTAAATTATCATACTCTCCATACATTTTTCAGTCTCCCCTGATAGCACCTATTATGTTGAGTGTGTTTTACACATGAGTCTTCACTGAACTGTACACTGACCTCTGTAGGTGGTGAATGCTCTGGATGACCTGCTGGAGTGGTTTGAGGAGGAGGAGGGCAAGCTCCTGGAATGTAAGCCCATCGGCTCAGATCCTACAGTCCTACAGCCACAACTTGTGGAGCAGAAGGTATGGATACTGTACAGTAAATATACTGAAAATAGTTCTATAGTACCTTTGATTCTTTGAAATCAAATGTGAACTGTCAAAATCATATGTGAACTACAAAATATGAGTTTTCCCATAAACATCTATCAGAATGCATTATGGGTAGTTTGTCTTATTTTTTTAAAAGCTGAATCAGTGGAAAATAAGCTCAATAGTCAAGTTCACCATCTGCCGTGATTGAGAAGCATAGAATTAAAAGAAAAACCTACTCAGTGCTGAACTGTCATTTACGAACTCCAATTCATCTTTTTTACTTTTATTAATTTAGACCATGAACGACGACATTAACAGCCAGAAATCCAAGGCCAGAGATGCGATTGCTCTGGGGAAGAAGTTGCTAAGAGAGAACTCTGTTGAGGAAGATGGTGCCATCAGGGAAAAGATGGATCTTCTGAAGCAGAGGTCTGATGGTCTGTCTCGGATGAGCAACGACAGACTCACCCAGCTGGAGCAGGCACTGCCATTGTCTAAACACTTCGCTGATACCCACACTGACCTTGTGTCTTGGATGGAGGAGATCGAACCCTCACTTGCCGAGCTGGAGAAACCCTCCATTGACATGGAACAAGTGAAGAAACAGCAGGAGATGATCAAGGTAGGTGGCATTTAACTTGGGTGGGAGGAGGGTGCCAAAACAACAAAATGAAGGAACAAGAAATTGAAATTAGATGATGATGTACTGATTCCAGGGCCCCGTTCCACAAAGCGATCGTAGCGCTAAGATGATCGTAACTCCCATACTTTAACATAGACTTACGACAGTCGTAGCGCTACGATCGCTTTGAGGAACGGGGCCCAGCATCACAGTTGTGGTTTGGACCTGAAGTTTATAGTGATTAGGAAACTGTTCTCTGGCTTGTTTTGATAGCATATGCTGCATAGAAATCCATTATACAAGGGGTACTTATTGATATTTGCTATGCAGAAGACCCAGACTTTCAATTTCCAACAAGGTACTACATTTGTGAAGTTCTTGATGCCTCCATAATGATGGCTGCACTGTCACTCAATTTTCACTTCAGTTGTATGTCTTCTCCTTCTTCCAGGCCCTGAGACAGGATGTGGCAGATCAGAAGCCGATGTGTGACCGTCTGAACAAGACAGGCAACGCACTGCTGCAGATTTGTGGCGCTGGAGATGCTGGGAATGTCCAGGACATTCTGGATGATGACAACCGCCGCATGGACGACATCAGGAACGGTGTCAGGGAGAGGTCGCACTCCATCGATGCTGCCATGCAACAATCTGCTGAGGTACGTTATCAGCCATATAGAGACGTGTGACTTTGGTCCAGTCCCATGGTTGTATTGTGTCAATTGTCAATGTTCTGACTGGGGATTGTATAGTTGAACTCTTCCTAACGTTTGTGCTCTTGTGTTCCAAACAACAGACAGATTAGTAATTTCCCATTAACACCAGTGGTATGATTATATATTAATATGTGTAAATTTACATTCCAGTTCACTGACCAACTTGAGGACATGCTTGAGACAATGACCACCACAAATGAGCAAGTCCAGAATGCTGAGCCCATCTCCGCCTTCCCAGACAAACTCAGAGACCAGATTGCTGAGAACAAGGTAGGCATCGAAGTCAAGTGTAAAATGCCACCATTTCAGACCACCAGCTGAGATTATTTTCAAGAAGTACAGTTTGAAGGTGTATTTCTATTTTCAAATTTTAGAGACATTGGCACACTTTTACTGCTTGACTGGTTTAAAGGACATTGGATATCAGAATCCTCTGACAAATAATAACACTCCAGACTGCCAGTCATGAGAGACATTTGCAGGGATTTCATCAGCACTTGTCTTGTTTCAGGACATCATTGGTGATATGGACATGCGAGAAAAGGCACTGGAGAAGGTCAAGGTCACTGCTGAAGAACTGCTGAAACAGGCTGGAGACACCCAAGATGATGCAGTTAAAGGTGAAGGAATTATTTTTGTTTGCCAGATTTTTTTGATAAATTGTTTGCAAGATTTGGCATGTGTTGAACATAATAGGTAATGGTAATATGAATTACTTGTGTGATTCAAGATTGTGGATAGAACAAAAAGTGATATATACTCAGTTGGGTTTAAAAACCTGAGGACCTGTGTGCCATCATACTCCTATTGCATACGTAGATGTTTGCTTGTTCTGAAGGATGACTGTGTATTACTCGACGTATTGTAAACCTCCATTTGTTCAAACATAACTCAGCTGTGGTGATTCTAGAAACAGTCCCTGGCAGACATACTTGTTGTACCAGGTGATTCAAAGTGTTGAGATGCTGCTTTTTCAGTCTATTATGGTTCCAGACTAAATTATCTGCCGTCATATTTCTAGGTAACGTAAACATTCACAGTTCCTAGAACAATTGTAGTTATTAAGCACCTTTCTACAGATGTAAAAGAGAAGCTGGATGAGCTTATCCAGCTGTTTGATGACATCAAGACCAGCACAAAGGATCGTGGCCAGAACCTGGAGGATACGCTTGATGTGTCGGAGAAGTTCTGGGATGATCTCAACAACCTCATGGGCACTCTCAATGAGTTGCAGTCAAACATCAAGAGCCAGGATCCTCCAGCACTGGAACCAGAAGCCATCCGAGAACAGCAGGAGGAGCTTGAGGTGAGGGGAAAACATCTGAGGAATATAATGCTTTCATGTAAAGGAAAGAAATGAACACAAGATCTTTCTTGAATATTCTTATGCCAGATTACAAGGAAAATCTTATCTCGCATTTATGCAAATTTAAATACAAATTTAATTTTTTTGAATTAAGGTATTGTTACTTTCAAAATCAGCACATCATTCTTAGTAATATCAAGGAACACTCAGTGAATATGTAACAAATCCCAAATGCGAGGGATTTGTACCAGTCATACTTCTGTATGAAATTTAGTGTCATTACTATCTGTTTATTTCTTCAGGCTCTGAAAGAGGACATCCAGGCTACTGCTGCTGATCTTGATGATGTCCGCCAGGCAGGAGACCATCTCCTGTCTATGGTGGGAGATTCAGACAAGCCAGAAGTCCAGAAGAACATCGAGGACGCAGACGCCAACATGGCTTCTATCAGTGATGAGTGTGAGAAGAGGTCCAAGACCCTTGAAGATGCTCTCAAGAAGGCTGTCACCTTCCAGGATGAGCTGATGGTCAGTGATGTCATCTTGATTCTGAAGCTGTTGTAGGAGGCTCTTTGGTCACTTGTGTTGACACAGTAGCTTAAAGCACATGATTAATTTTCTTTAGTCAATTTGCATTGCAAGCTTGATGAAATATTTTAAATAGGAATGTGTGTCAGCAGTCCAAATATATTTTGGTGTTTCTTCCTATAAACACGGCTCATAACTATTGATTGTACTTTTTCCAGAAAATGCTTGTTTGGCTCCAAAGGATGGAAGAAAGGTTCTGTGACCTAGGACCCATTGGATCTGACTTTGAAACAATCAAGAAACAATGGGATGATCTCAAGGTAACCATCAGTATAACTTTCTCCCACCTGCTTCAGTAACGACTGGACAAGTAACCAAACATTGGCAGTTAGTTTCTTACAGCCTTAGGTGTACAGTGAACTTTTATTAACCAGGACTCTAGGAAACTGATTTCCAGACAATTTACTTGAGGATCATTCATTAATGGGATATTTAAATGATTTATGTAGTGTAATGTTAGCAAATTGAACCCATTTAACACATATTATTCTGTTATATCATATATGTAACATGTGTACAAGAAGTCACTATAACTGGAGTACTGTTCAAAGTGGTGTTATCCTGACTCACTCACTCACTCACTCACTCACTCACTCACTCACTCACTCACTCACTCACTCACTCACTCACTCACTCACTCACTCACTCACTCACTCACTCACTTCACTGGGAACTGATTACCTGCATGTCAGTGACATATTTGTAAGCATTTCCACAGAGATTATAATGGCCACTGTACATTTTTCCTCCAGATCTTCAAAGCTGACGTTGACCCCAAACAAATTGACGTCGAGACCCTGACCCAGCAAGTGAATGACATGGTGAAGGACTCTAATGCTGAGCAGGCTGCTGTGGTGAAAGAGCCCCTCCTGGAGGTCAACACCAGGTGGGACACGCTGGTGGCCGGAATCGGAGAGAGACAGAGGCAGCTACAGATGGCCCTGCTCAGTGTCGGTCAGTTTGACCATGCCCTGGACGAGCTGCTGTCTTGGGAGGAGAAGACAGATAAGGCCCTTGATGCCATTACACCAGTTGAAGGCGAGGTCAAGGACATCGAGATGGAGCTGGCTAAACTTAAGGTGAGTGGAGTTGTCTCCCTTGGATGTCAGGTCAGTTATTGTGGGTTAGTGGTGTTGTGTGATGCAATGGAGGACTTCTTGTCTGAACATGTGAAATTTGAGAATTTCCCTTTGCTTTATTTGTAGTCAACATAGATTTTCTTTCCAAAACCATTAATTGATACCAGAACAAATCATACAAGCCCCAAAATCCAAGCAAAAATACCAGCTTAACAGATTTAGGTAGCAAAAACATCCAAACTTCCCTACATCTCAAATCAAAGCCAGTCTTTTACATACATGTACTTTGAAATTTCCAGAAGTAGTTTTTGATTGAGCAATGGCTACAGCATGGAAAGTTTGGAATGAGTGTTGATTCCAAGATTCCTGTGGGCAATGTTGAGACGTTTAACTAAATGCTTGCATCTATTTCTGGTCGCCAGTCCCTCCAGAACGACATCACAGCACACCAGCCTAGCGTGGACTCCCTCAACGAGGAGGCCCTGAAGCTGATGGCCACCGACACTGGAGAGTCAGCCGCTAAGCAGAAGGTGGACAAGATGAACAACAGATGGGATGACCTTCAGGACAAGTGTGGGGACAAGCAGGCCAGGCTGGAGTCTGCCCTCAAGGAGGTGAGTAGAGGCTACTTTGCAGTAAGCTACCCATAAGAAAACTGTGGATTCCAGGTTATCATTGGTCCCCAGCAGACTAAGCTGGTCGCAGTAGGCAACTTGAAGGACCAAGTGTACAGGTTCTTGGACTTGGTTGTCTGTCATTGTACCTTGAACATCGTACAGAGCCAGCCGTCTGTATCTAATATTTTAAATATTGTAATTAAATCTGTTTAAAGTTAATTTCAGAAACTCCCACCCCTACTTCTTTTCTACTTTCTTTATGTTTTGAGAAAATGAAATATGCTTGAATTTTGGACATTTTTGTCATTTTTCACTAACCTGAATTTTTGGTTTTGGGGCAAAAATATGTAATCCAGTAAAGACAAAAAAAAAAGAATGTCTGGACTTCAGTGTTCATTAACCCTATAATGCTCTAACACTGACCCTGTTGTTTTCCAAGGCACGCTCCTCCTTGGGTGGAGATCTTCAGGACATCATGATGAAGCTGGGAGATGTAGAGAACCAACTCATCACTTCCAAGCCAGTCGGAGGACTTCCAGAAACTGCCAAAGAACAACTCGAGAAGTTCATGGTAAAATCTGTTGTTATTATCATGTACAAATAATCTGTCCCTATGATCCATGAATTCAATCTCTTAAAAGTTTCTTCCATTCAATTTATGTTATGATCTAGGTGTAAAGATACTGATTAAGGTGCATAAGTGCCTAGATATGAGAAGCACCGATATTCTTTATTCAGAGCAGCTAACTTATTATCATGGACTAGAATCCTATTTAACCCTGATAATGTTTCTACATACCGTACCTGTGTTCATGTGTATCATCAAAGTGTTCAGTTCTAAGACCTACGTGACCTTAGTCTGTCATAGTACATCAAGTTGACTTGCAGTGATTGTACTGCAGTTTTAAGTGATTTTGAAGTGCAAATGATAGATTCAGAAAAACGAACATGCTGCATCCCCAGGGGCAGACAATAATATTTGATGTAACAAATTCTGACCAGGATATTTTACTGAATTAAGCTTCTTTATTCTTTCAATATATTTTATCCATAAAATATCTTGGTCATCTATAACAACTTCTAAATGACGCTAAAGGACATCATAACAAATTCTGGACAAGAAAAATAATGTGACCATAAATTGATCATTACGGGTCCAATGGCCACCACTTTTGCAAGTCACGGTAAAACCCTTTAACTTTAATAAAGTTCAAAGCAGTGATAGGCCACAGACACTCACTGATGTTGCTATGATTTCTGCTACAGGATGTATACAGTGAGCTTCAAGCCCTTGACCCAATGATCAAGTCTGTCATAGACAAAGGACAAAAACTTGCCAAGAAATCCAAACGACCGGCTCAATCTAACCTGACCCAGAATGTTGGGGCTCTCAAGCAGAGGTGGGACCATGCCAAAAATAGAGCAGAGGACAAGAAGGTCAGTAGTCACCACAAACATTGTCCTTGGTCAGTGATGTCACAGTGCCTTGCGACATCATCAGTGCTTTGTGACATCATCAGTGCTTTGTGACATCATCAGTTACCATGACATGACAATCAGATGATGTCACTAAAATTTCTGCCATCTTTTAGCTGTTCTGTTTACATATAACATACTGCTGATTACTTAAATTACTTTCGGATGATTTATAGAATTTTACCGCAGTATCTTTTGATAGCAAACATTTCAACACTTAGTGATATTCGACAAACATTGTTGTTGATATTCTTTAGATATTATAGTTGTTTAAATAGAGATGTCAAGATTCAGGATTTCAAGCATGTTTACGAAATAAACAATATCAGTTTGTATTTATGAATATTGTTTACAGCTGTCTGTACCTCAGATACCGGACATCAAATTAAATGGTATGCTCTGGGGACAGGTTCATTAAGAATGTTTATTGGTTCAAAAGATGAATTGAATTATTTGTTATTCTTTTAGAAAAAGCTGGAGGAAGCTGTTGGCCTCGCTGGCAACTTCCACTCAGAGCTGAACAAGTTCATCGCATGGCTGACGGACACAGAGAAAACCCTGAACAACCTCAACCCAGTCAGTCGGCTTGTTGACAGAGTGACCAAACAGATCGATGAACACAGGGTAGGCATCTTAGACACATCTTGCAATGGTTTGGATTTGTTTGTTGTATGGAATAAGGGGAATTGAGATGACAGAAAAGTGAGGCATTGTAGCGACATTTTACCATGGGATTAGTGTGGCTCAGTGTCACAGAGAAGGGTAGTCGTCTCTGTTTATTGTCAGTGTTACAGAGAAGGGTAATCGTCTCTGTTTATTGTCAGTGTCATAGAGAAGGGTAATCATCTCTGTTTATTGTCATTGTTACAGAGAAGGGTAATCATCTCTGTTTATTGTCAGTGTTACAGAGAAGGGTAATCATCTCTGTCAGTGTTACAGAGAAGGGTAATCGTCTGTGTTTATTGTCAGTGTTACAGAGAAGGGTAATCATCTCTGTTTATTGTCAGTGTTACAGAGAAGGGTAATCATCTCTGTTTATTGTCAGTGTTACAGAAAAGGGTAATCATCTCTATTTATTGTCAGTGTTACAGAGAAGGGTAATCATCTCTGTTTATTGTCAGTGTTACAGAGAAGGGTAATCGTCTCTGTCAGTGTTACAGAGAAGGGTAATCATCTCTGTTTATTGTCAGTGTCACAGAGAAGCGTAATCATCTCTGTTTATTGTCAGTGTCACAGAGAAGGGTAATCATCTCTGTTTATTGTCAGTGTCACAGAGAAGGGTAATCATCTCTGTTTATTGTCAGTGTTACAGAGAATGGTAATCGTCTCTGTTTATTGTCAGTGTTACAGAGAAGGGTAATCATCTCTGTTTATTGTCAGTGTTTTATTATTACATATCTTGAATATTCTCCAACCTATTTTTCATGATAATATTTAGTTATTCTACAGTCCTTTACAACAGGATAGTTTTACTCTAAAGATACACAAAATATTGAGGTAATAATATTGCAGAATAAAAACCCAACAAATTTTAAGCCAATTGCTTAACAGGGAGTTTGAGATGGTTAAAGCCTTTGCTTATCATGCAAGAGACCCAGGGTTGATCAGTTTAGATTGAATCAGTTCTTTGTGTCTGATTTAGCTGGAATATTGGTGCAAGTGGGATGAAAGTTAAACATGAAGATTCATACAGTGGGGTTAGGTTAGCGTAGTAGTTTGCCATTCCAGTTTGGTACCAGGAATTAGCTCACATCCATTGGTTTGTTACAGTTTCTGCAGAAGGACGTGAGCAAGCACCGAGAGGCGATGGTTGCTCTTGACAAGATGGGTACCCATCTTAAGTACTTCAGCCAGAAGCAGGACGTCATCCTCATCAAGAATCTGCTGTCCAGCGCTCAGCACCGCTGGGAGAAGATTGTTTCCCGCAGTGCAGAGAGGACCAGGCATCTAGAGCGAGGGTACAAGGAGGCCAAACAGGTGAGAGGAAAGAGGATGTTTATGATGGGGATGAAATTGACAAGAACATTGTCATCCTTTATTACCCATATGCTACTATGACTCCATTCTGTTGTTGTAAATACTGAGGAGCCATTCAGTACAAATGATTCATTTGATATGATAGTAAAAAATACTTTCAAATCCGATTACACTCCAGATCAAAAGAAAGTAGGGGTGACATCGCTCCTGAATAAAGCCTCACCACAAATAGCTGCAAATTTGCTGATTCAGCATTCAGCAATACTCATTCTGAAAAAAGCTTTGGTGTAAAATGCTAACAGGATATGTATCATAATAGAATGAGGCAAAACATATGCTGGATCGTTAAGGATGCAGCAGAACTTATAAACAGATACTGATCAAGATAATCATCATATGGGCTGTGAGATTTTATCATTACCTTTGTTTAATCTCTGTTTTATCACAGCATTGTAACAATTGCAGCAACACGATGCCTTTGTTGGGTTCTGGATTTGTTTTGTTTTTTCAAAGAATAATGTACAGTTTAGGATTTGTATGAATGTTTTTCATCATGTTGATCACATGTTTAAAATAATGTACGTCTGCTCCAGTTCCATGAAATGTGGCGAGACCTGATAGACTGGCTGGTTGAGGCACAGGCGGAAGTAGATTCAGACCAGTTCATTGCTAATGAACCTGACAAGATCAAGGCCCAGATTGCCAAACATAAGGTAATGACATCCTTTTCTCTTGTTGTCCACTCTGTGAAGATCCACATTAAAGTTGGCCTACAGCAGCCCATGCTTGTTGTAAAAGTCAACTGACAGGGTCGAATGGTCTGGCTGTCTCACGTGGTTAATGCATGTGGTCCTTTGTGTAGATCAATCATGATCTGTATGACTGCATTGCCTATTCCAAACTCAATTATTTACAGACTACCATCATATAGCTTGACTGTTGATGAATGCAGTGTTAATGCTCCATCAAGCAATGTTGTTGGGGAAGGCTAGTGCCAGTATGTGACCAGTTGTGTGACCAATTGTGTCCCTAACTACAGTACTGCCGGAATATTTATTGTTAAAGTATATCTAAAATCAGCATTCCTTTAAATGCTTATGCAAGATTGAGTGTTAAGCATTGACACAGGACTATAGTATATGAGAAAAATGATTAATGAGTTAAATACTGGGTCATAATTAAAAGCAATTAAGTTCAGTTTGATTGGTCATTTGTATCAAAATAATCCTTAGCACACAAGCATTACAGAGTTGTCTCCCTTTACCAGGAGTTCCAGAGGAAGCTTGGCTCCAAGCAGCCCAAGTTCGACACTGTTAACCGCACTGGCCGTGCTCTCAAAGACAAATGCCCGAAAGAAGATAGTCCTGAAATACAACAGATGTTGAATAATCTCAAGTCCAGATGGAATGCAGTCTGTGGAAAATCTGTTGACAGGTAAGTCCAATCACTGGCTTGGTCATGCAAAAAGATATACAAGATGGTACTTGTTACCCTGCCTTCCCTAGGTAGACTTGTCAGGATATTTGTGCAGTAATCTTGTGTACACACACTGTTAAACCCTATTTCTACTCATCTTTACTTCGTTTGAATGTTATATTTACCTCTTGATGATCACAGACAACGTAAGCTGGAGGAAGCGCTGCTGACCTCCGGTCAGTTCAACGATGCCCTGCAAGCACTGATGGACTGGCTGGCCAAAGTGGAGCCCACCCTCGGGGAGGACCAACTGGTCCATGGAGACATCGAGACGGTCAACAGTCTGGTGGACCAACACAAGGTTTGTACTCCTGCAGAATTGATGGGATACTGGGTTAGAATAGGCCCCAGGAACCTTTGCTTGGCGAAAGAGGCGAAGAAATGTTTTGTGTGGTCAGACTTGTTTAGTGGGGCGGTGGGGTAGCCTAGTGGTTACAGCGTTGGCTCGTCACGCCGAAGACCCGGGTTCGAATCCCCACATGGGTACAATGTGTGAAGCCCATTTCTGGTGTCCCCCGCCGTGATGTTGCTGGAATATTGCTAAAAGCAGCGTAAAACCAAACTCAGTCAGTCAGTCAGTCAGACTTGTTTAGTACATGTTTAGTATATTTTGAAGCACTGCTTAAATTTTGCATTAAAAGCCCCCTGCCCATTGTTTCATGTGAAACACTTTGATAATGACTAGAAGTGCTGACTTTTGATAATATGTTTGATTTGTTTTACAGTCATTCCAGAACGAGCTGAGTGCGAGAACCAACACTGTGGCCTTTGTTCAGAAGTCAGCCAAGGAGCTGATGGAGAAGTCGCAGGAGGACACATCTCAGCTCCAGGCACAGCTCATCGAGCTGTCAACCATGTGGGACCGTACCTGCCGACTCAGCGCAAACAAACAACAGCGCCTTGACCAGGCACACAAACTGGTACATATACACAAACCATTGGATCTATCATTCACATTCTCAGTCATGCCAGTCATGCTTGTCATGCCCCACCGCATGAAATAAAATGGCTGCTAAAATAACTGCTGATCCTGGAATATAATGCATTTTTAGCCCACCTGAGTAAAAGAGGCGGTGTTTTCATCACATGCATTACTTGGTTTATACTGTATTTCTTATCCCTAAATACATTCAGATTTGCCTTTTCAAATTCAGTGAAAAGATTACTGTAAAACTTTTTCAAGGTTTAGAACTCTTTTTTTACTGAAGTTACATAGTTGTGTCCCTAAGTAGTGCCACAATTTTGTGGCTGGGAGTTTGTACAGGTAGGATCTTTGGTCTGTCATCATCATAGCCATGCTCATAGGCTTCTCAAAATGCTTATGTAACTCACCTGTATCTCATTTGACACTGTTCTCACATTAATCTTGTCTATTGAATTGGATCCTGGTCAAAGTGGCATCTCTCAATTCACCCTCTCTTGTCCCTCCAGGCTGACGAGTTCCAGAAGAAGGCCCAGGGTCTCGTGGACTGGCTTGCAGAGGCGGAACAAACCCTCCGCTACCGAGGCCCCATCCCTGATGAGGAGCCTCTCATCCTGCAGCAGATGGACGAACACAAGGTTTGTTGTTTGATTGTTGTTTAACATCACACTCAACAACATTCTAGCTGTGTGTTGGCAGCCTGTAAATAGTCAAGTTTGGATCAGCCAAACCAGTGATTGGTATTATGGAGTGCTTGTAATTAGCAGTCCACAAGGGGGACAGATACAGTATCAACTGTACATGGATCTGTAGCAAAAGGAACATTACAAGTTATCACATCGTGTCTCGGGAAATACGGGGTTTTATCAGTCTGGCTCGGGGAATACAACCTTGCGAGGGACTGATAAAACCCTGTATTTCCCGAGACACGATGTGATAACGCATTTATCTAACCGAATGTTTTTACTAAATGAAAGGAAAACAAAACAAAATTCTCAGTTGTTGTGGCAAAACGTTTCCTTGCTGCCACGTTGACACCAGCTGATCGATTGACCTCAATGCAGCGCACGTTACTAAAGGCTTGGTGATGCACGCTTTGCTCACTTTGCGTGGTCACCGAGGCGTGGCGGGATGATACGACTTCTGTACTCCCTGCTCACGGATCGTGACGGGTGTACATGGTATTTTATCAGAGTCACATGAACCAATCAAAACTCGACATTCTTACATGAGGCTGGATAAAATACCTTGCTGGTTGAAGACCTTAATGAACACTGTTTGGGGGTCTATATACAGATACTTACTTCTTTACTCTGACATTGTTTTATACAGAAATTTGAGGAGGCCTTGATGAGACAGGAGGCCACCCTGAGAGAAACACTGAACATCGGACAGGACATCATGAAGCGGTGTCACCCCGATGCTGTGTCCACCATGAAGTACTGGCTGTCAGCACTCCGGGCTCGCTGGGAAGAGGTGAGATACGCCTTTAATACATCCCTGGAATTCTTATATGTTTTTAAGATAATAGGGGTTTCAATGAATGTATTTATGATTACATTTATTGAAGTAGTACCTGTGTGAAGTTCATTGATGTCATTCACAATGATTTTCTAAATGTGAACCAGAACTTGAAATAATTATGTAGGCAAATATATGGTCTGATGGCCTTATTGAAACTATTAACACTTGTCTTGAATTGTCACCTAGTGGTTAAACAATGACATGCCACACCCCAGTTCAGTTTCCCACATGGGTATATGTGAAGCCTCAAGTGTCCTTGAGATTATTTAGTATTACTAAAAATATGTTTATGGCCTAAATGGTAGCTTTCCTGGAACTGTTTGTGTGATCCACAAGATTGCACTGTATATTGATGCTTCAGCATTGATAGCTCAATTTGAATGTGGTGTCGATAGCCTTTCAGTATTAACTGATGGTGTCTGGGTTTACATTAAGTCGTGTCATTTCCAGCTGACCAGCTGGTCCAAGCAGCGAGGTCATCGCCTGGCCGAGGGGTTGACCCACCTGAGGAAGAACAACGCCCTGCTGGAGGAACTGCTGGCCTGGCTGAACTCAGCTGAGGTGAAGCTGCACAACCAGGACCAGGAACCTCTCCCGGAGGAAATCCCGGCCATCATGGAGCTCATCCGGGAACATCAGGTACGTGGCTTCTCATCATGTTATTGTTAATGTTGCTCACACCTTGCTTTGATGGGGAGGTGGGGTAGCCTGATGGTTAAAGTGTTCGCTTGTCACGCCGAAGACCCGGGTTCGATTCCCCACATGGGTACAATGTGTGAAGCTCATTTCTGGTGTCCCCCGCTGTGATATTGCTGGAATATTGCTAAAAGCGGCGTAAAACCAAACTCACTCACTCACTCACTTGCTTTGATGTCTCGGTAGATTGAAGGACAGGGCCCTGTTTCGGAATGTGATCGTGGTGATATGACTAATTCACATACTTTCACATAGACAGGAGGGGTGGGCTTTCATTACCAAGGACATCAGGTTAGACAGAATCAAAAGGGACAGCCATAGATGAAATTTATGAAAAGAATCATCAAGGAAATGTAATATTCATGTGAGGGTTGTATCTGTGTCGTACTACAATGGAACAATCAAGTATCTTCATCAAACAAGTTATGATTTTTGTAATTTCAGGATTTCCAGAACGAAATGTCTGGCAAGCAACCAGAAGTCGACCGTCTGACCAAGGCTGGAAAGAGGCGGACATCGTCTGTATCTCAAGATGGAGTTTCCTCTTTCATTCCCGTACTCAAAGGAGCTTACAAGACACCAACCAAATCATCGTAAGTTCTACATTGGTACCACTCAAAATAGCATACAAGGCAGTAATAAAGAAGCTAAATGAATTCTCTCTGCGAAAGGCCCAATGTGTGGAAATCTAAATCTAATTCTGGAAATTGTGAACTTGAAAATAATGAATTCTGTTGCAGACGCCTGACACACCTGGAAGAAAAACACCTGACTTTGGAAGAAAGACCCCCGACTTCAGTCGCAGTTACGGAAGAAAAACACCAGATTTTGGACGTAGAACACCTGATTTTGGGCGCCGGACACCGGAACCAGGCCGTAAAACTCCAGAACCTCTATACGCCAATCCAAGAGTGGGCGCTCTGTTCAACAAATGGAGACAGGTTTGGCTTATGGCCATGGACAGACAACGCAAGCTGCAAGACGCCCTTGAGTACCAGAATGAGGTAAGGCAGGGGAGATAACTGAAAATATTCTTTCAACCTCCCAACTTGGGACACTTTCTCAGCACAGCACAAAATTATGATTCATGGTCATTTGGGGTATTTTTTTGAAGCAGTGTGTTCTGTACTGAAAAGTGGAAGTATATGTCATCTCATTTTGTCTGACTATCAGGTGGAGAGGATGAAGAACTTTGACTTTGATGAATGGAGGAAGCGCTACCTGCGATGGATGCATCATAACAAGGCTCGCATCATGGACCTGTTCCGTCGCCAGGATCGCGACCATGATGGGCAGGTCACGAGGAAGGAGTTCATCGAAGGCATCATTTCATCCAGTGAGTACTACCATGTAACACTTCCATAGAGATCCGGGCCGTGGGGTAGCCTAATGGTTAAAGCGTTGGCTCGTCACGCCGAAGACCCGGGTTCGAATCCCCACATGGGTACAATGTGTGAAGCCCATTTCTGGTGTTCCCCCACCGTGATGTAGCTGGAATATTGCTAAAAGCGGCGTAAAACCAAACTCAGTCAGTCAGTCGGGCGGTGGGGTAGCCTAGTCGTTAAAGCGTTTGCTTGTCATGCTAAAAGACCCGGGTTGGATTCCCCACATGGGTACAATATGTGAAACCCATTTCTGGTGTCCCCCGCCGTGATATTGCTGGAATATTGCTCAAAGCGGCGTAAAACCATACTCACTCACTCACTCACTCCATAGAGATCCGGGTTAGAATGTGTCTTCGAGAACCCATGCTTGCTTCCCAGTCAAACTTCGGGTTAGAATTGGTCTTCAGCAACCCATGTTTGTCAGAAAATAGGAGACTAATGCATTGGTTGGTCATTCTTGCTGACTTGGCTGCCACATATTATTGTATCCCAATTGCAAAGATCGATAATAATCAAAAGCGGAGAAAGTCACAGAAGATATATATAGACTGATACAAGTCAAGAAAGTCCAATTATTAGTAGTTGTATATATGAAACTGTTATTTTTCAGAATTCCCAACATCTAAGCTTGAAATGAATGCTGTTGCTGATATTTTCGATCGTAACCGTGATGGCTACATCGACTACAAGGAGTTTGTGTCAGCCCTCAGACCAGACAGAGATGTAAGTAATGACACAACTACACCTATGTACCAGTTCAATAACAGCACTGACAGCTAAACAGTTTAAGCGGAAAACAGCAGAGTGGACCTTTGAAATATTTATGTTACTTACTTATTACAATCTCTTTGATAACTTCTCAGATAAGTATGATTCGAATTGGGAGACTTTTAGGAGATAAACATCATGTGTTGGCCAATTTCCGGGTGTTATTGAGTATTTGAAGCACGGAAATATTCCCGTGCTTCAAATACTCAATAACACCTCAAATTGGCCAACACATGATGTTTATCAACATTGTAAACACAAAAGTAAAGCAAAAGGTCTACACACGTTTTTGTGTCTGCACTCATTGACATCGAGTACGGGTACAGCAGTGAAATGTCATCAGCCAGCCGTTTCGGCTATCTCCCATGGTAGCATCTGGAACTGGCCATTTGTGACGTCATTCGGACTTTACGTCACAATATGATTTTAATGACGTCATCACAGCTGACGACGTAACAATACAATGGTGTGAGCGATGTTTGTACGTATTAATACGCAGCAGTGAATTTCCGGGAATCGAATACCATTTGATCACATTTTTCAACCAATCAGATTAAAGAACACAGTGACTTTTGGTTTGCAATTTGTCATTAGATTATCATTGAAGTTCTGGGTTAGAATATTGATCTTCAGTAAACCATGCTTGTCGTAAGAGGCGACTAACGAGATCAGGTGGCCAGGCTTGCAGACTTGGTTGACACATGTCATCGGTTCCCCATTGCTTAGATCGATGCTCATGCTGTTGATCACTGGGTTGTCTGGTCCAAACTCAATATTCACAAATGGCCGCCATATAGCTGGAATATATCTGAGTGCGGCGTTAAACTAAACTCACTTACTATTAAAGGGCATTGTGAAGCAAGTTATAGCTCAGGGATAGTTCACTGGTATTATTATCAGCACATCATGAAGAGGAATTACTGTAACTTGTATGTATATTTGCAGCCTCCCAAGCCGGAGACAGAAGCCGACAAGATCAACGACGAAGTGAAGCGACAAGTGCACAAATGCACCTGCATGAGGCAGTACAAGATCCACAAGATCGGAGAAGGGAAATACAGGGTGAGCACCTCAAGTCTCTCTTGCATACTTCACGATGCCTCCATACAACACAGCGATTTTACCAAAATTGTTGCAAAGTGTATCTGAAGAGTATCTAAAAGATAATGAATATATATGAAATGGAGAAAAGGGTTAGATCAAATATGGAGTTGTATTTGTGCTTGATTGTGGAGCTTGCATTTCATGTTTTCATAGATCAGATGCTTATCGTGAATCTTGTAGGGCTGAATTTCTTTTGGGCTGTTGGTATTTGTTGCAGTTGTCAGACATTTTGGAAGGAAACTTCTGAAAATGTTGCAGAATAGTGGTAGACTAACAACTAGTCTCTGAAATGAACATATTTTACAGAAAGAAAAGTTCATAGAAAAAAAAATAGAATATAATGGAAAGGAGCCCCGAGAGTGAGACTTTCTGAAGCTGTGGAAATCTAGACTTGACACATTTTCTAGACCTGCGCTTTCTCGGATATTTTTGCTTCAGGGACTGTATGACAGACTAAACAGTGTGGGGTTTACAATGTCTTTATGTTCGAGCAAATCAGGCATTGTCATTAATCAGGATCTGACCATTACAACATATCATATTGCATATCAACTATCTTTCTTTGATATTTACCCAGTAAGCAACAGAAGGGACTTGCTATCTTGTGTAAAATGATGTTTTAATACTTTTAGCCAGATGCGGAGATGTCAGGCTGAAGTTTTAGTGTCCTTATTACTTAATCTTAGAAACTTCCACACTTCTTATGTATGTAAGGTATAAGGTCGGGATTGCCCAAGAACACATGATATCTATCCACTTTTGTTTTACAGAGGAAAACTATAAAACGAATACCCCTCAAAATCTTCAAGGTATTTTGACATAGGACATCAAAGCTTTTAAAGCTTTCTGCATTTTTATTAGAAATTCTTTTTATTTTTATGCCTTGGCATATTCAGAAGAAATAGCTTTTTATCTATTATCTTTTTCAAATTTTCTCCCACTGTTTTATTTGGCTTTAGACCTGTAATAGGCAATTTCAGGATGTGGAAGTACTTACATACGTTAAATGTAAATGAACAAGCAAAGTGATGAGTTAAGTTTCTGTTTTCTCGTGTCTACGCCGGACAGATACACAAGTATCGGAACTGATTTATGTTGTTCATTTTCAAACTTACCAGAATGTTATTTTATTTTAGCATTTTTAATGATTTGTATTTGAAATGTTTAATGACTTTTATGGGATTAACTAAAGCTGCCCATTGAATTTATGTATTACAATATTTTATATATTTATTTAATTTTGTAAGTTTTTGCTTTTAATGTGAAAATTGAAAGTACTTTTGATATAGTTTTTGTGAAATGTATATCAATATTGTGCCTGTTTTTTGTCCTTGCGCCCTTGGCTGGTGGTGTCTGCAGGTGAACATTTTGTTTTTGGCAGAAATCCAAAAATTGATTGGCAATATAAATGGATTTTTTTTTAGGGGGAGAATTGTTCTAAAGCTTTTTTAAAGCCTTCCTTTAGAATACAGCACCACAAACTTTAAAAATACGTCATAATACCCTTTTACGTAATGTAATGTGATTTTGTTCGAAAGCACGTTCTCGAAACAATGCCCTATGACGCCTGCATGACAACATGGTTGTCTGGTTCAGCGAGTGCGTATAAGCTCCGGCTCTGGTGTTTCATCTCTACGAGCTATGTCATTGCATAAGCCCAAAGATGTTAAGAGTTTCCAGTAGTTGTATACCGGCAGATGCGTAATATTTTGCAAGCACCAGTTTGAAATATTTTTCTTTTTTCACTAATACGCTCATATTTATTTGTATTACGGGGTGCTGAGGTGTTATGTTTTGTGTATTTTGTATTTTTTTAATTTACATATATATTTTTGTCATTCAGTAATTTGCACCATTACATAGAAAAGTGTTTTATTAGTATTTTATTTTTCGAAGCGGTAATAATTATGCATTACACTAGACACGTCAGTCAAGTTTGTGCCGGTTCGGTCAATGCATTCTATTTATTACGATTAATTCAAGGGGTTAGGGCTAGGCTTAGGGTTTAGGGTTGGGGTTAGGGTTGGGGTTGGGGTTGGGGTTGGGGACCTAATCCAATATAGTAGGTACATGTCCGGTGGTTCGGTCAATGCATTCTATTTATTAAGATTATTTCAAGGGATTAGGGTTAGGGCTGAGGGTTTAGGGGTTAGGGTTAGGGTTAGGGACCTAATCCAGTGTAGTAGGTACATGTCCGGTGTAATACGTGAGAACCATTTGTCGTTTTTCCTTTTGCATTTTAATACTTTTTTTCACACAAAAACGGGAAACCAAAAACGTCAAAAGTACATTATGAAATGGTTTAATGTAGAAATTTTGGGCTAATGGAAATAGGCCTGGAATTTGCACTGAAGCCTCTTTCACACGCAACATAAATTTTGTTCAGTATTGATTCGAAGGCTAACTCACCCTCGTGCCGTCACTACACATGCTTATGTCTCCCTCGTTCCTTAGTGCGATCCACATTATCCTTACAGTGTTCCCTACGTCACTTTTCTGTCACAAAATCACCGATTTATATAAAAGCGCGTCATTAATGCATGCACCGAGAAATCTACGTCTGACGTCAACAACCCTTTTCAGTTTGAGGCATATCGGCTCATTCCACGCCACACGTTATCTTGTAGATTACGGAATGGGACGAGTGTGCCAAATGGCATCGGATCAATTCGGCGGTTGTCCGTAGATTAAAATCACAAGACACCAAGCCTACCCGTAACCTTCGTAATTGTCCGTGACCTATTCGACTCTTTCCTTTCATTTCCGTGACGTCACAGGAATGACTCGATAAATTTGCACATTGTGCAACAGTGTGGACGTAGCTCAGTCGGTTAACTGTCGAGCTAACAATCCGAAGGTCGCGGGTTCGCGTCCGATGGGTTCTCACAAGCTGGCAAAGATCGTCCTCACGAGAAGTTGTGGTGCTGTATTGTAAAGGTGCTCCCTTTTTAAAATAATTCTTCTGCTTGTCAATCAGCATTTTGGAGCTTGTAGTCATTTGGGTTATTTTGGTAGGTATTCTTATTTCATGGTGTTCCTCAATCTCTTTACATCAGCCATTTATTCATTTGTTCAATCATCATCAATCTGTCAATCACACGTCCTTTCAAGTCTGTTCCAGTTCAAAGTCATATCCTTATTTCCATGGTGCAAACATAAATTGAGGTTTAATTTTGGTCATGAATAAGGTTACCAAGTAGGCTGATCACATGATCTGACTTCACTGATTGCGATGTGTATATAAGTGGTGTAACGATACGATCTGTATTATGTTGTGATACAAGACTTATGACAAAATATTCAATTTACAACCAATAAATTTCTACAATATCCCAGCTTCCATCTCTGAAATTTAATATCATGATTCAGAATTGGGATTTACCTGCAAAAAAAAAGAAGAAAACTGGTGAAAAATATATGTACTGTATCTGATTATAAATCGTATCACACCCATTGAATCTTCACACCTCTAATGGCTAAAATCACAGGGAAAGTACATGTATGTCTCACCTGTTGGTGACTCAGCTGTGTTTAATGCTGGTTTGATGAGATTTCCAGTTATATCACAGTGTTCGATTTGATGTAAAATTTGATGTGAACACAGTTCATGCAAACAGAACTGTTGATTTGGATTCTCAAATATGAACCGAGACTCAAATCCTCTCTCAGTGGGGACCACATGCACAAATCAAGTGTAGCATAACAACAGCAAGTCTGTGTTAAATTGGGCAGTGGGGTAGCCTGATGGTTAAAGCGTCCACTCGTCATGCAGAAGACTCGGGTTCGATTCCCCACATGTGCACTATGTGTAAAGCCCATTTCTGGTGTCCCCCGCTGTGATATTGCTGAAATATTGCTGAAAGCAGCGTAAAACCATACTCACTTGCTCACTGCGTTAAATCGGACTTTAGAACATTTGATTTAGTAAGGAGAACCTTTCAAAACAGCAAAACACAATTGAACAGTTGTATTGATACAAATTTATGAAACAGCTTTTCATGACTTCATAGCATGGGATATAAATAAAATATTACCCTGCTTTCCTGTTGTGTGAGACTATGCCTATATGCTCAATGCCCTTTATTCCAGTTTGGGGACTCACAGAAACTGCGTCTGGTTCGAATCTTACGTAGCACTGTGATGGTGCGAGTTGGAGGAGGTTGGATAGCCTTGGATGAATTCCTCGTCAAGAACGACCCATGCAGAGGTAAATATCCATGTCCGCGCATATTCCTTCTATTTTCAGGGACATGACAATGGACTACAAAGCATTTAGATCCACAAAGAACCCCAAATTTGTGATTTTAGTTACATGACCAAATGCCATGGTCGAATGTAGAATGACATAGTGTTAGAAAGGATTCGCAAAAGAAATATTTTAGTGTAGTGTACATTCTGTACGTGATGCTTACGCCATTTTTACGAAAAAAGTCAATGCTTTGTAGTTGGTCTTTTAAGTATGCTATGTATTGCTGACAAGCCTTGTATACAGATCCGCGGACTGAAGACGATACTCTGTCTCATAGCGTTTAGACTGAATGAACTAGATGTGTGCAAGTAAAAGCTTAACTGTTGCATGTTTTGTTTGATATATATTCCAAATTTTAATTTGTCACTATATCCATAAATGAACAGAAAGTTTTATTGTCAGTTTAAATTTGACCAATTGTTGCTTATTCATAAATGTCATTGATTGTGTGTTAGTCCGAGGGAGGTTCCTCTGAATGGTACTTCATCTGTGGTTTAGTTACACTGACTATTTAGTTAAATTTATGCGTTTAGCATTATTTCACTGTTATTCATTTAATTTTAATTTTCACATCTTAAATTTACATTATTAATTGCAATTTACAGAAAATATTTGGGACTGGGACTTAGAAATTGGTATGATTCTGGAATGAAGACATAACCATATTTCTTGAATGGCTAGCTGTATGATTTGTTTCACTTCTGTAGCATCTTAGGCCTTGAACTAGGAATGAACTGGTAGAAAGTCTATCTAAGTTTATTATTTGATGTAATTTTTAGCAACAATCATTGACTATAATGTTAATTTTGCTTTTTGTAATTTTGTCTGTAGTACTAGTTTTTCGTTCATGTTCATGAAAGTTATGTCTGAAAGATAAGGTAACTATAAAAATAGAAAATCACACAATGAGTATTTGGTTTGTCCTGAGGGTTTAATTTTGCACTACTTCACATCTCAGTCTCTCAACACTGCCTGTGGCCTGTCATCTTCATATTTTCAGGCATCAGCTCACTCAAGACTTCACATTTCTTGGATTTTGTTTCACATTTTCTTCATCCTTGCATCTCAGTGTTTGCTGGGTTTTGTACTTTTTTAGCCAAAAAGATGATCGAAGATACCGTATCATTTCCCACTGATCATGTTTTTTTTCTTCATCTTACGCAATCTCAGATTTTGGTAAACAGACCAAAAAGATCAAAACTTTTTGTGAGTATAGCACTGGAGAGGGAAATTAGTTTTTTCATATTTTTTTCATGGTTTTTTCATGGTATTTTTTTTCAGGGTTGAAGGTTTCACCTCTTGCATTTTTTGTTTATTTTTGTTGTTGGGAGCTTTCTGTTGATTTTGTAGATCATAGCTATTATTTTATGCTTCTGTAAGAAATATATCCCCAGATTGGCGTCAGATAAATGTAGTCGGAATGCATATGTCAATTATATACATGTATGTAGTTGTAGATCACCCCGATGAAACCAATTCGCCACTTTTGTTCTTTTTTTTCTCTCTTCAAAGTTGGCCTGTGGAGGCGAAACCGATTTCGCTTCATGAGACGTTTTCTTCATCACGACCAGTGTATGTTTCAATTTCCTCCACGTAAAGCTCATTCTCTGCGTTGGTTTTTGCTGCCAGTCGCGTGATTGACATAGTAACCTTGACATTTACCACAGCTTAACATGTTTGGTCCCTGTGTTGACAAGTAGCTGTGATTTGATTGGTTGTTGCTGTAGCCGAAACCTATGTTTTGTAGAAATTTACATCTGGGTTATAGATCCCGTGTCGCATGGTGTGGTTTGCAAGTCCTGCATGTTTATTCCTTTTTATTTGCAATGTATGTCACCTTGCCTTTGTGTATGGAATGGTTTTGACCTAGGTGGCAGTAGCATATTGGCGAAATCGATTACCAGTAATGTCGTCAATATCTAGGACCCTGATAGATAGTTGTAGAAATAGCTGCTGTTTGATGTTGTAATTTTTGCGGATATGATTTCCGTAATACATTGTCTTTTTCAGCATGATTTTTTTATGATTTGAGAGACTTGTTGGGTTTTTTTGTGCAAGAGCCTGAACATCAACAATTATCATTGAACAAGTAACATTCATTCATTAATAACAAACTTCTAACAAGTCTAACGACCTTGCTTAATCCAAAAGAAGAGAACTTGAAACAACTGAAGTTGGATTTGATGTAATAATATATAATTGGATTTTTTTGCAGGAAGTGCTACAAACGTTCTATTTCAGTTACTCAGCCTGTAATTCTTTATACCTAATAATACAAATATTATTCATGTTATATATTTATTTTTTATTCATTGAAAATATCTTAACAAAGCGTGTCATTATCACTGTCAATTTGGACACATTGATGTTAAGTTAATGAAAGTACATTTCTGTGCAAAGCGCATCTAAGTATGAAATATCAATATTTGGGGATATTTTACATATATATTATCAGTTTTCAAGAGAATATTGCTAAAACCAGTTGTTATATATCTGAGTCTAATTATGATTTATGATTTAGTTATAGTATGTCAGGTGTGGTTTAGTTTGGTTGACTGTATTTATAGTCAATGTCTGAGACCACTTCACATTCCCACACCCAACTGACTCACCATTGTACAAGTGGCATCCGGAATACTGTTCAAAGTGATGTTAAACACAGGTTCACCAACTATGTACAGGTTGTGCTAGAGCTGCAGTATTGCTGGCTCCCCACCATCAGTAGAGCATCAAACACAACATTCCTCCCCGAATACATGCATTTACTTCTATAGTTACTGTGGTAACCCATCAATCAAACTAAGGCCAGGTGGTACAAAATGAAAACCAACAGAGTCAAGGCTAATGCTCAGAATACAGTTACAGAATAATGTTAATGTTTCTTGCTGGACAACATGCAACTTGTGCTAACCCAATGACCGTCTGCTCTGGTCGTGTCTTCGATACGTCCTCGAACCATCCTTCCATGTACAACAATAAATCCCCTTCCAAGAAGGCATATGTGGCTTTATGGGTAGAGGTGCTGCAGTGTGCTAGCCAGAGTTACGGGCCTTAGCTATCATGAACTACTGATAACAAAATTCCTGATTTGTACTGATTACGATCTTTGGCCTGTCTGGACATTGATTTCTGCCCCGAAACATTAAGGGACTGGTCTGCTGCCAAGATCATGCAGAAGGGACAGAGTTTCTGGGTCTGTCCAGGATTGTCAGACATTTCAAACAAGTCAGGAATAATTCAGTCCTGAAAAAAGCCTGTCTGGACACTAAACATGCATTTTAATAAATAACTACATAGGTCTAACAAGAGTATTAATGTAATGTTAATGCATGCAACATGATTTCATTCACCTCATGCTCATTGGAAATTGTGCTGTAACCAACTAATTGCATAATTCTTTTCAACCGCATGATGCAATGTTTCATGTAGTTGAACAAATTAAAACACTGAATCTGTTATTACATCCGTGCAAACGACAATATATATCAAATAGTTGTTTAAAGTGTGGTCTACCTAAATCACAATAACTGCTTCGAGATTCTTTGCCTTTGAGATTCTTTTGCAAATGTGATTGCAACATTACAGAAATAATGGATATCTTCAAGAAATGGAAATATTTTATACAAGTTGTAATATGTTACATTGGTTTCTGATCTATTCATATGTATCTGAATATATATATCTTAACAAAATTTTAAAAAACTAACACTTTTAACCAAGAAACCAGAAACATCCATATTCTGGAATGTATGTATTTACATTGTGTGTTGCAGCGAAGGGAAGGACAAATATAGAGCTCCGTGAGCAGTTTATCCTAGCAGAGGGGGTGAGTCAGTCCATGACAGGTTTCGTCCCCAAGACTCCCCCTAGCTCCAACTCTGGCAGTTCCACCTACTCTGGCGGCAACAACTCCTGGAGCAGTCGGTCCCCAAGCACCGCAAGCGGGCCAGTCTACAAGGTACAGCATGAGTATAACCAGTCGGTTCCAGAGACATCCAAAGTGTCCCAGTCATTGACTTTAGTTGCAAATTACTTTCCAGATCAACACACCTTCGACTTGCCAGAAACCTAAGATAATGGTTTCACATTCCCGGTGTAACAGGCCAAACTTTCCCCCTGGCCAAACCTTCCCGGGGAAACTTTAGCCTAGCCAAAACTTTCCCTGGGGTAAGAATATCCTAGGACAAAATTCCCTGTGGAAAGTTTGGCCTAGGCCAGATTCTCCACAGGAAAGTTTAGACTGGGGAACACTGGTTTACACCGGTACCCTGATTGTGTTGCTGGGTTTCACCAGAGTAGTAGACCTGCGTCACCTGGCTTTGTTCCCACTTGAAGCTGTTACTAAGTGTTCCTGAGTTATAATTCAAAGGGGCGATAACTCACTCGCTGAGTATTTTCAGTAAACTATGTAGCAAACATGCTTACAACTAAATGGGCAATATAACAAACTGTGTTTTTGTCCCATCACGCACTTTATGTTTCAGTTTAAATGTATATAATGAACTATGGTTATAATGAACAAATATTGGCACTAAACTTATTGGAGTTCATTATAATCATAACTTACTGTAGTTCAAAGATACTAGGGGCTGTGGGGTAGCCTAGTGGTTAAAGCGTTCATTGTCACGCCGAAGACCCGGGTTCAATTCCCCACGTGGGTACAATGTGTTAAGCCCATTTCTGGTGTCCCCCGCCGTGATATTGCTAAAAGCGGCGTAAAACTAAACTCACTCACTCACTCAAAGATACTATTGTAATGATACGACATTTTCTGATTATAGCTTCTCGACTAACGGGATCGGGTGGTCAGGCTTGCTGACTTGGTTGACCCATGTCATCGGTTAACCATTGAGCAGATTGATGCTCATGCTGTTGATCACTGGATTGTCTGGTCCAGACTCGATTATTTTCAGACCGCCTCCATATAGCTGGAATATTGCTGAGTGTGGCGTAAAACTAAACTCATTCACTCCCTTCATAGTTTCTTATGAATTTGTGACTTACATTTAATATAATGTGACTTACATTTAATATAAGGTGACTTACATTTAATATAATGTGACTTACATTTAATATAATGTGTTCAGTGACAGTTCAGTAGAAATCAGCTTTTTCTGTGAGTCTGGCTTCAGTTTGTTTATTATCATTACATATGCTTATAAAAATTCTCCTTCTGACGTAATTCCAAAATTCTTGCTTTTGTTTTAGATTCGGGAAAAGACGCAACACCAATCGCCGTGGAAACGTGGCAAGACAAGTCCTGACAAGGAAGTTACCCAAATTATGTCACGAACAGAGACGCCGAAAGGTCGCTATTCAAAAGATCTTCGTAGTCCTAGAAATATCAATAGTCCAGGTATAACTTCTTTCTTTCCTTCTTGATTAACAGAATTAATAACATTAATCTCAGTGAGAATAGCCTCCATATGTGTGATCAGCAGGTCATGTGACTAGTCACATGATTGGTTGCATTCTATTTTTGGCATCACAAGGTTATGAAGTAGAATAACATTCTGGTAGACATGTATTGAACTCTGAACCTGTATTTGTGGAACTGATAATTGTGTTGCAGTTTGTATAGTTGAATTCGATCATTAATTAATTATTTAAGTAGCTATATTTAATTTCTATGTAAGGTAGAATCAGACAGTGTTGCTCATCACTGAATAGGTGGCAAAAAGGTTAAGCTACATTTTTACAGAAATAGTTTTGAGCTAGTTAGTAGCTACTAATAATCTCAAACTATCTCGAGCAATGTGATTAGATTTATTTATTCAAAATAAATAGTTGCTCTTTGGATCAAAAAGGAACCCAAAATGTACAAACTTTTGTTCGAAATGACTGCAGTGAAGACAAACTACCTGTTACACAAAGCGATCATAGCGCAGTGACAGTCATAAGTCTAAGAGGGCGGTGGGGTAGCCTAGTGGTTAATGTGTTGGCTCGTCACGCCGAAGACCCGGGTTCGAATCCCCACATGGGTACAATGTGTTAAGCCCATTTCTGGTGTGTCCCGCCGTGATGTTGCTGGAATATTGCTAAAAGCGGCGTAAAACCAAACTCACTCAGTCAGTCATAAGTCTAAGTGAAAGCATGGCAGTCATGATCACCTAAGCACAATGATAGCTTTGGTTCCACAAAGTAAGTATGACCCCAAGATGTTAAGATTGCCATACTTAAACATAAACTTATGATTATTGTGGCACCGAAAATGGCATGTGGAATGGAGCAGTGTCTAAATGTTCGTTGTCATACATGGCTGGCTGCTGCTTCCTATCTACCACAGGGTTATCTCGTCTTGGATTTCAGGCTACAGGACAATGAGTACTTCATTGTTGACAATGGTTTAAAACACTCAATTTTCGGTTACAGTAAGTAGAAGTTCAAGTCGGGCTAGCACCGGAACAGGAAGTCGTCCACCGAGCAGGACAGGAAGTGAAGCATCAGAGACAAGTGAACCTGATCTGTATTTGTCTGCCCAGGGTGAGGCCAGAACACCGAGTGGACGCAACTCCTCGACGCTAACGTCTCGGATGCTGCAAACACCCCCGCACACACAATCTCACATACCAACGCCAACCAAAGGATCAAAAATACCCAAATTTTCACCCCGAAAGAAGTGAATGATGACTTTTCAGACACGTGATGGAAATGAACACTCTCAATGTCTTTCAGTTTTTGCGTACATTCGGATTCTGAAAATGTACAGTGTACAGTTTGTTTAGTTTTTGCATCGATGATTGACAGCGAAATATGCTAATTCTGTCGTGGATGCTAATCAATATGGATGTGCAAAGAAAAAAACTTTGTTTTGATTATGTCAATTTCGTTAGAATACGTCATCATCAAGTGCTGCTTTGTGAATCTCAGTTCAAGGAAGAGTGTCAATTTTGTGACGACGTCTGTTGATCAATGGAGGTCTTGTGCTTATTGAGTGCAACGTGATGATGGTACCCCATTAAGTGCTTAATCTAGCTAGATATAATACCCTGGAACTAGTGTCGTCATACGGTTCTCTGCTTATTATTCTCATAAGCAACTGTAAAGTGTTTGTCTCAAGATATATTTTGCCAATAACATGACACCCCTGTGAATGAAGTAGAACCACCTAGACACAATGAAAGAGTCTATTCCATGTTAGATTGCAGGGGTGGTTAGTATGTAGATGCTCATAGTCTAGCATTAACTTATTTAAAGCTTATACATATTGATATTTAACTGATACAGGGTGCCTAAGCGATGTATATTTCAATAAAGGTATACTACTTTTCCTGTATAGATATTCGTAATGATTCGGATAGAATCTTATCAGGTTCAAAAATATTTTTATGCATCCACGCTACAGATTGTTGAATCGAAGTTTATTGTTACGGATGCCAAAGCGAAGGTAATGTTTTGTCCGAGTTGTTGTTTGTGTATAGATATTGTTATTAGTGTGAAAAGGTTAGTTTTTTTCCGTTCAGTGATTCTTTTGTGGCGTTAGCATCAAGGAAATTCTTTCATTCATTTCAGATAACAGGTTGTAGATATTTTAGCAGCCAAATTTGATGTCGTTTCTCAAATGTTTTCTCGATGGTCATTATTGCTGCAAATTTACCATCTTTTCGTGACCAGGTTGAAAATATTTGTCTTACGATGACAATCTAGGTTGGTTTAGCTGTGTGTTCGAGAGAGATAGCGTGTGAGCATGATGTATTATTGTGTATGCAGGTTGTGATTGAGTTTAAGCTTCAAGCAATTATTCATTCATGCCGCTTAATTATATTCAGATGTGTATTATATATGAACAACATTTTCATTAGTTTGAACATTGTATTGAAGGCTAAGCCATACTGACATCAATCCCTAGGTATGAATGGTTTTGTTGGTCTCACTTAAGATTCCTATTACTGTTATTACATACAATGTAGCCAGGTTAATTTTTTATTTCAAAGTAATATAAATATGCGCTGAAAATATTTTGATATCATCTTAAATTATTGTGGTATATATTACTATTATTATGATGTCTCTGGTACTACAATTAATGCCTCTGTAACCATTCCTGAATACCTTATGTGGTTGGTCTACAGGAAGAAGTTACTTAACATATGCCGTATTCCATGACATAATTTGATAACAATCGCTTCTTGTAAGGAGATGTACGTGATATATGAGACGTGCTAACTCTGCATAATATTGAAATGATATTTCGGGTGAATGGGGAAATTATCCTTGCCAGAAAAGCAGAAAATGGTTGATTCAAAATACACTGAATAAATATATGAATCTCATGGTTTTGTTTGTTATGTTTGTTTGTTTGTTTGTTTAAGGGTGGTGGGGTAGCCTAGTGGTTAAGGCATTTACTCATCACACTGAAGACCAGGGTTTGATTCCCCACATGGGTATTTCTGGTGTCCCCTGCTGTGATATTGCTGGAATATTGCTAAAACCGGTGTAAAATCATACTCACTCACTCGGTAGTATCCCATTTTTGACAGCGTCTTGGTCACTGATCCGTTAAGGTGTGATGTTTTGCTGTCAAAAATGGGACAAGCAGAGCGACCACTGGGATAACTAGCTGTACCAATTACTGACTGACTGACTGAGTTTGGTTTTATGCCGCTTTTAGCAATATACCAGCTACATCACAGCGGCCGAGGAACACCAGAAATGGGCTTCACACATTGTACCCATGTGGGGATTCGAACCCGGGTCTTCGGCGTGACGAGCCAACGCTTTAACCACTAGGCTACCCCACCGCCCCCTGTACTAATTAAGGTCAATTATGTGAATGCAATCAACTGAGAACACAATCATTCCAAGAGCTACCGCTCTCAATGGCATAGAATTCAGGATGGGAGAAGTAGCTTTACCAATTACTTGCAAAGTATCCTGATGGGAGAAGAATAGGAGAAGTAGCTTTACCAATTACTTGCAAAGTATATATACCCACATATACCCAACAACTCAAGAGACTGTCAAAGTGGGCCCAGAAGAGCCACCTTAATGTGTATGAATTTATTTTACTTTTCAAACAAGAACAATCCAACAAAGAAGTGTATATTACCAGGGGAGACTATATAAGGTTGTAGAGTATCCCTGATATTATGCAGCTGCAAGGTGGGCAGACATGACATGTGACAGAACCATGGCATCATATCTTTCTGCCTGTGGCTGTGTGATGGCTGGCAATGTTGCTCAGTGATTGGTGGACTTTGAAGTGATTGACATTCAAGAAGACTCTGATTTAGTTTGGGCTTTTTCGTTTTCTTCTTAGTTTTAAGTCGTATCCGAAGCTTCTGTTACAGTAGCTCCCACAATCATCAGCTAATGAGGGATTAATTAACATGGGTGAGCCGAGGAAGGTCAAAATTGGGATGATCGGTAAACTCACCGTCAAAATTGGGACAACTGTCTTGATCAATTACAGAACTGTGAAATTTCACTGTCAAAATCGGCACTAAGCCACTCACTTACTGTATATCGTTTAATGCCTCACTCACCAGTATTCCAGCTATATGGTGGTGGTCTGTTTGTTGTGAATGTAAGGATGTAGAGGGTAATGTCCGAGTAACTCTCCATTCCTTAAAAATAATGGAGCCGAGGCACATTATTTTTAAGGAATGGAGAGTTACAAGGATATTACCCTACTTAAATTACATTCAAAGTATTGGTAATATTTCTGTTATCAAAATTAAATGTCAAAATGACAAAATGAAGTCTGAAATTTGAAACTGGTACACATGGCTCCTGAAAGGTAATGAAGCGAGCAGACAATGGAGTGACGTCACAAATGTAATTTAATTGTGAGTGAAAGAAGACCCTCTACACAACCACAACTTTTTTATGGAGAAATTAATGTTGAAATGGTGTCTGATAATTGAGACAAGTTGTATTGTCCCCCTCTCACTGACGCTGGAAGTGGAATGCACAGACTGGCATAATAACAAGTGTTGCACTTTAACTAGGCTCTAGGTGTAACTGCAGCTGGGGCGTTCTGCACATAGTAGAAGTCCTCATGGTCCCTAGTCTGGTGGCCTAACTGCTGGTGATCTAGCCCAGTTTTATAATATATTGTTTGGGATAGTCATATTGTAATGTTTACAGAATATCTGTAGTTTAAAATCCATATCTGTGGTCCTTGATGAATTTTACTGTCATTTGTTGACCTGTTTGTTTAAAGATGTTTTAGTCATGACATGGCTGAAAAACTACCAATGGGATTATAAATATTAACTCACTAACTTGACCTTTGGAGTATCAGTAATAGACTATTCCTATCACTGCAAGTATTACTATTAAGGCCAAGGGAGGTTAGACTTCATTACATACTAGTATGTGATGCAGCCAGTGTGTGAACATTGCCAGTGGCCTGCTAGCCCGTGGCTAGTTAAAATCCAGTCGGGCCAGTAAATATCTACAGTCACTGGCCCGACTGGCTGGTGAATTTTCATGGGGACACTTTTAAATCATGCAAGATTATGACCTGATAAAAATGTTCATCATATCAGCAGCATAATGATAAAATGCGTGGAATATATAGCTGGAATATTGCTGAGTGCTGCGTAAAACTCAACTCACTCACTCACACTCACACTCATTCAAATTTCAGGCTGGTTAATTATTTTGTGGGCTAGTAACTTTCAGGCATAGCTTCCCGGACTGGCTTGCCATATTTAGAATTTATTTCACACACAGGATGTAGCAGCAGTTTGTTTTTGTTGTTTTTGTTGGTAGATATATACGTTTAAGTAAGATAACTTTATTTCAGGACTACATGGTGAAGAAAATAGGCGTAGTATCGGTCCGTGCTGAGTTGCCTCCCTTTCCTAGAAAGTATTGTAGCTGCGTGGTTTCGAATTGAAGTCCGCCTGACTTTGATTCTTTTGTATACTTAACTTGTTATATATAACTTGAACTGTTAAGTTTCTCGGCAAAGGAGTGTGAGACGGGAATTACTGGGGTTTACTTCACACCTTGAGCTGACACACGGTGATATAACTGAAAACCTGATCAAAGCATTACTCCAGTATGAAGCAGCATTTCAGAATTCTTTTTCGGTTGCGCACCAAGTTCTTCTCCTTCATGTAGAAAGATGAATTACCCGCGTTAAAACAAATCTTTTAGCGCCTTACCCTAAGCTTGGTGTCTTCGTTCTGCATATTTATTGGGATTACACACAGAAAATACACCCTGCCATTTGAAACCGTATCTATCTGAGTTTATACGACTTTTTAACAGATTATATAGAAATTGAATCCAGTGGTCTTTGGGTGAGGCGAAGTGCAGTTTAATTAACGTTGAGGTAGAGATATGGCATACTGGCTCGTGCCAGTGGGGATAAGTGCTGGCCCATAAAAAATACAATGCGGATACAGTGTACATATGGTGGGGTAGCCTAGTGGTAAAAGCGTTCGCTCGTCACACCGAAGACCCAGGTCCGAATTCCCACATGGGTACAATGTGTGAAGCCCATTTCCGGTGTCCCCCGCCGTGATATTGCTGGAATATTGCTAAAAGCGGCGTAAAACTGAACTCACTCACTGTGTTAAATCGGCCAGTCCTTGTGTTATCCCCATAACACCCAGTACGGGTTCACAAGTACGATTTGAAGGTCTTTTTGTTAAGGGGCGATGGGGTAGCCTATTGGTCAAAGCGTTCGCTCGTCACGCCGAAGACCCGTGATCAATTCCCCACATGGGTACAATGTGTGAAGCCTATTTCTAGTGTCCCCCGCTGACAAACTAGAAACAATTGGGTCGAACGAGGTTCGAACCCACAATCACAGGTTTCTGGCGAGTCCAGATACACAACATGCACGGCAGATTGCGGAGGCTTAGAGAGAGAGAGAGATGTTTATTTCTGTAAGGGGGCCACCACCATGTACAAGTACGTACAGACTTATTATTATTATTCCAAGGTTGTTCCATGTTAAGTTTTAGAAATCGAACACGCTTTTTCATGCCAAGAAATACAAATCGTGCAAGACTGTTAATGGCATCGATTTTTTTGGTAGATGATAATAAGTGAATAAACTTCTCAAATGATGGATAGGTAGTGTAATATACTGGTAAAATGGAGTTTCTCAGAGTATCATAAAATGGACAAACCATACAAAAGTGGTATTCGGATTCTACATAAGGAATGATACATAATGGACATAATCTTTCGTGACGAGGAGTGTTAAACCTTCGTCCTTCTTCAAGTAGTAAACTGTGGGTAGAACAGCGAAATTTGGATAGTGCTATACGATATACGGGCACCTAAACAAGGGATAAGTATTCTTCAAGTTAAAAACATAATTTGATGCTAGAATATAATTCAAGTTCAGGATAAAGTCCAACCTGTTCCTGTGCCTGCGGAGGCTTAGAGACAAGGCAATCCGTGCCCCAACAGTACAACACCCGCGAAACCCTTGCAATCATATCTTTACGTTGACACCGATGTGAGCCTTTACTGACCATATCATTGACATTTATTTATATGCGTGGAACCCTTACAAATTTCAGTAGCCTACAGACCCAATTACCCTGGGGAAAACGCCACTGAATGTACATCTAGCAGATTGACCCATAGTGACACGGTGAATTACCGCCGAGAACTCATTACCACCTTATTAATATCATTTCTGTCCGTTTCACCACTGAATTGTATTCCAAGCTTGTTAGTCGTTCAAGTTCACAAAATGATACATTTCAGATAAAAAAGGCCACCTGTTCAAACCAATTCGAAAGGAAAACCCTAGGTTATCAAAGACCACAGGTGAGATCACAAGTCTCTAACAGCACATAGTGAGGGGGGCTATTTATAACCAATGAAATTCTGGCACTCAAAAGATGAACGTCATATATCTTGAACGTTGGGCTTTTTTTGCTTTCCGGATATTAAAGTCCGAGACTTGATTGAGTCTGAATACATCGCAGCAATACACGACATGTGGCGTATTCTGATCCACACCGCTATGACGGAGCAATAACTTCGTTTCCGGGATCTCATTCGGAACGTCTGGCGTCCAAGAATGGCAAAGGGTTATATTCATACCGAATGATTGTTAGATCTGTGTCCTGATAGCTGCGTAAAATGACGTCCTTCGCCCTTATATATTCGATTTGTTTGACAGTTGTAGTTTTGTCAAATCTAACAATCGGCTTTGGTGACGAATACCGACATGTCCTTGCGCAAATGTATGCAAATAGCACTTTCCCATTGTTCGATGACGTCATTTGTCTCTGTGGAATATGGCCAATTTAAAACGTCACTTAGCTGTGCCTATTTTGGAACTGATTTCATA